TATTATTATTATTATTATCTGGGTGTCTTAATCTGAGTTCTCCGACTCTGATTTAGTCGGACTAAGGTGTTTACATGACCTTCAGTTGTCCGGTCTTTATCGGAATAAGACGATAATTCAGTTTTTTTGAGTGTCATGGAAACGTACTGAGTGTAGGCCTGGGCGATTTGGCAAAAAATTGATCACGATATATTTTGTTGTATCGTCTGATTTCGATTATTAGCAGGAAAAGCTCGACTCTGATTGGCTGTTGTGATGTGAAATTTATCATGATCATATAATCGCCCAGTCCTAACTGAGTGTGACAGCACTAAAACCTGGAGTCCAGTCTGAGTCAAGTACCGACTACCTGAGTCCTCTTCCAAGTTTCTCTAAACCTCATCATTACCGTAAAATCTGGAATATGAGGATCTATGAAACAGAGTTGAACCTCCTGTGTGTAGACTTCTGTGACATCTACCTGCACGGACACTGAGCTCAGTCTGTAGTAGAGCTGATGGATGAACTCTCCTCCTGTGAGGAGGACTCACTGAGACCCAGCCTCCTGTTTTGGTAAATTCGAGTCTTTTCAGCCAAACACTCGCTCCGTGGGGATGCTCTCATGTTTATTTTGTGTTATTCATGGAGTTCAGACAGTTTCATGCACCAGCAGAGACACTCAGGGAACAATTAGGGATCATTATCTGCAGGAACGAGGGGAGAGGAAGGAAAGTAAGGTCAGCGCTAAAGGACCGAAGACGGAGAGAGGCGTTAAAGAAAGACGACAGGAAAACATCGTGGAGAGGAAGAGTGTTTGTGATCGGGAGAGAAAGTGTGAGAAGAGAGAGAGAAGAAGCCAGGAGAGAGGAGGTGAGGTGAGGAGAAAATAAACAGCTGTTTTTGAGTCGACACTGGGAGACAGCGAACAAACACGAGCCTCATTATAACTCCGATTGTCCCGCCGCGGGCTGCAGAGGAGGTTCGAGACGCCATCATTATCAGTTACAGCGCTCTCCTTTCTCTCTCCACCCGTCTCCCTCGCCCCGCTGACAGCTCGGCGAGGAGACACCTCTGCTCCAATAATCATGTCTGCCTCATCTTTCTTCTCTTTCTCACGCTCTTCAGGAAGTCACAGCAGGAGGTCCGATTTTACAGACGAGCCATCGACGGAGAAACTGTCACTGTCAGCGTCTGAGTTTCCTCTTTTGGCTAAATTCGTTTTTTCACGTCGACGTCGGTGTTTCTGGAACAAGTTCAGCGTGACGATAAGAGAAGGTCGTAAAAGTGAACAGGTCGTAAACTTACAGCTTTGACAGAAGTCGCAAATAAACTTTAATTAGAGAAGAAAATTACAGCTTTTTACTGTCAAAATACTCTAAAATAAACGTCCTTAAACCTCAAACTGTAAGAACTATAAAAACATTTTCACAGTCAGAACCAGAACTGGGTTTAAGTGTTCTGGTGCTAAAACAACAAACCCATAAAATAAAAACAGTAATTTACTGTTAAAACGTTTCAGTAAAGAAGGAAATCAGTGTCAGAGCTGCTGATTGGCCGACTGCAGTGATCTGATTATTTCTGTTATTTTAAGGTGAAATCTTTTCGCCGTCGTCGTCGTTTTCTTACGCTTCATCCGGGTCCGGGTTGCGGGGGCAGCAGCTCCACCAGCTCCTCCTTTGGGGGGATTCCCAGGCGCTCCCAGACCAGGCGAGAGATCTAATCCCTCCACCTGGTCCTGGGCCGGCCACGAGGTCTCCTCCCGGTGGGACATGTCTAGAACACCTCTAACGGGAGGCGTCCAGAAGTCCACCTCAGCTGACTCCTCTCCACGTGGAGGAGCAGCGGTTCTCCTCTGAGCGCCTCCCGAGTGTCCGAGCTCCTTCCCCTATCTCTAAGGCTGAGCCCGGACACCCTGAGGAGGAAACCCATTTCAGCCGCTTGTATCTGCGATCTTGTTCTCTCTGTCATTACCCAAAGTTCATGACCATAGGTGAGGATCGGCACGTAGATCGACCGGTAAATCCAGAGTCTCGGTTAAGCGTCCGCATCACTGCTGACGCCGCTCCGATCCTACCCTCACTCATGAACAAGATCCTGAGATACTTGAACTCCTCCACTTGAGGCAGGACCGCCCCTCCGACCTGTAAATCTTCTAAACCAGTCAAACCCTCAGACCCTGAAACAGTCCGGTCTTTAGGAGGATCTCCTGACCTTCAGTCCTCGCTCTGAATCGAACCTGAACATCTTCTTCTTCTCTCCTCCATCAGTCTATTTTAGCTCCTGTACCTCGGTGCGTGGGCGTCGGTGTTTCTTGGCGTTAAAGATCCGTATATGCAGACATATCAGCATATGGCCTGTGATGGTACGGATCCAGGAGAACAAAGACGGCTCTGTGGAGAACAAAGCTTTCTTACACTGTAATGATCACTGACACATTTTCAGCGTTTTGTTCGCCAAGCGTGCCTCGGCTTCACAAATCCTACTTTTAGAAAAGCTCACAGTAATTATTACCAGTCGGAGAAATGTGTGCAGACCGTTTTTCAACTTCAGCGGGAACAAAGAGGAGCAGACAGCAGGTACGATTACTCCAAAGGAGAGGAGCTCAGTCATCTGCTGACCCCGCTCCGCTCCCCGTTTCTCTCTGAGGCTAAATTTAGAGAGACTGAAAAGAAACGGAGCGTGTTGTTGTTTAAGGCAGAATAAAGACTGAATAATGAGACTGAAACAAACATCCACGAGCTCACAAGAAGTCAGGAAGCAACGCTCAGAGCCGTCAGTCTATCAGCCAACCACAGACACGCTCATGTATCTGTGCAGCCAATCAGCTCTGTCCTCGTTACGATGGCAGCCACGCGGCGCGGCGCTCCCAGCTCAATCTTTTCACCATGAATCTCCTGAAATGGTGAACTGAGGGCGATGCTAATGATGCTAATGATGCTAATGATGCTAATGATGCATTAAACTAATTAGCTTCAGTGGAAGGCAGTGGAGCTCACAGGGTTTAGAAACACACGACACAGAGACACGGATGTGAACGCCATGATCCGACAACAACACGCCATCATCATCATCATGAGGAAGAGGAGGAGGGTTTAATTTATCCATGGATTAAATCAAGGTGGTCTCTGATTTAACATATATGAGGGTGTGGAGGACTGATGTGGTTTATGGAGCGACAGGTAACTGAGAGAGAGAAAGAAAAGTGCACGTCATCCAGTATTTCAAAATAAAACACCGTATATGAACTCCTGACTGTATCAGTCGGTGTCGATGAGAAATCCTTCCTGGTTCTGGATTTATCAGGAACAGAACAATCTGATGGTCGATCCCTGATCCATGTGGACCCCAACAGGACTTTGACCTGCTAACCCGGGATTTTCACTGCATCCAGAACGGCGGTGATTTTCACCGTACACCAGTTCCTACCAGATCTGTTTGTGAGGCAAATATCATGGCTGATTCCAGACAGCGGTAATCGTGAGGACTCAGAAGAACCTGCAGATTCACGTTCAATCACACGATAACGAGTTGTCTCTATAAAGACAGACACATAGACATATAAGCAGTAGATTGTGTCCTTCCAGAGGAGGAAATCTACTTCTAGACTTCTAGAATCAGCATCTCCTCATCCATGGTGTCATCGGGGTGAAATGACGTCTAAAATCAGCTGAGGAGTCCGGCGATCCGCAGAGGAACGGAAAGAAGTCGGTGTAAATTGACACGTTAACTTGAATGGTTACGATCAGCGACGATCGGAGGATACGACCTTTTAGGAGACGATCAGGATGAAGGTGGGATTTGGGGTTTATGGACCCTCTACTCTTTAAATCTGAGGATGCAGCATCTATGATTTACATCACGCTCAGTAAGGATCCTGGATGTTTTCAGCTTCAGAGCTGATCCAAGTTTGTTCCTCTGCTCTAACTGTTGCTGTGACTTTGAGACGACCTTCAGGTCTTCTCTCTAGTTTACTGTAAACCTGAACAGTCGCTCTCATTCTGGGCTACCTAGATCCTCGTCTCACCGTGACACGCTTCCCGATCTAAAATAACACGAGGCTAGGTCTCAGACGACACGCAGCGCCTCATTTAGTGCTCCACTTTTCGCCTCTGCAACACGTGTGTGTGTGTGTGTGTGTGTGTGTGTGTGTGTGTGTGTGTGTCAGCTCTTTAATTGAGACCTCATCAGACTCACTTCTTCACTAACTCTGATCCAGTACGAGGTTGAACTTTTCTTAAAACACCTAAACTCAAACTTTTTAACGACACGTTTGACTGAAGAGCTTCAGCTGAGAGTGACGGCGGGACCAACGGGGCTCACAGAGCGTGGTGGTGGCGGCAGTGGCGGGCTGGGTTCATCACGGCGCCCCTGTCAGCCTATGTGAGTCTGGTGTGTGTACTCTGCTTGTTTGTTTACTGAGCGCATCAGAACAGTGGCGGTGGCGGCGGCGCTGCTGCCACGGGTGTTTTATTTAAGATTGAGTAAATATCAGGAGTCATCCTCTCCTGCAGACGTTCATTAAAGTTCAGAGAGTTTCTCGTGTCACAGATTTCTGGGTTTGATTCATGGAGTCAGAATTATGAATACATGAGGATAGACTGGGGTTCAGAAATCAGACTTCTGATTGGCTCTCAGGGTCGAACTCTTATCGGGTCAAAGATGTCGTGGTCAAAAACACTCTTCGGTCTGATGTTCATGAGGACATCATGGAGGTTCAGGTTATCAAACTCACATCAGGAGGAAGGAGAGGGCGTGACCTTCAGCTGCTCAGACTATGATTGGTCAAAAACTGTCAGACATGATTTTACAGTCGACAGTCGGTGTGCAGCTTCCTGATCCACCGGTGAAGAGTTTCCACCTTTCATCACTCAGTACGAGTTAAGACGTGGAGGCACTGATTGGCCGATTAATCAGCCAATCAATGCTCACGTTAAAACATGGACTGAGCTTAACATGGATCTGCAGAGCAGGTCATCTCTGGTCCTGATCATGATCACACTGGGAGGCTCCTGAGTGTCCAGGTGGAGTGAAGATGGTGTTGGAGCAGACGGAGCTGCTGTGTGAGCAGAGCTTCAACATGAACCTTCATCCTCTCATATTCACCCTCCTTCTTCTGAGATCTTTCAGCTCCTGTGGATCCAGGAACCTCTAACCGTGCAGATGAGTCCAAACCTGGATCTGGATGGTTCTTCCTCTGGTTCTGCTCCTCTGTGTTCCTCCCTCTCTCAGTCTCTCTGTCTCTCTCAGCGGTTCTTCTGGATTAGGTTTTTGTTGGAATACTGATCTGATTACAGAAGAGATAGGTCAGCTTATGCAACACGTACGGCTCACTGCATATGGGGGATGTCTCTCTCTCTCTCTCTCTCTCTCTCTCTCTCTCTCTCTCTCTCTCTGAGTAAACCATGAGCATAAATCCAAACTGAATCAGAGACAGACCTGCAGCTGTATCTGAAGAAATCATTTCTCCTGTAGATCTTGAATCTCGGACGTCCTCTCTCTCTCTCTCTCTCTCTCTCTCTGGTTTTCGTTCCTCCATGTTTCCGATATATTTTCCTCTGTTGTTCAGATCTGATGTGAATGTCGTCGTGGATTAGGATGATGGATTAGGATGAACTCATGCTCTCTTTTCTCTCATATCTGCTGCGTCTCAGTCCATCTTAGATGTTCCTCATTTTCTACGTCATGATCTGAGCTGCTGCTGCCAGAACAATCAGGTCTCCTCATGTCTTCTTCTTCTTCTTCTTCTTCTTCTTCTTCTCTGACGTGCTCTTCCTTTCAGATCGTAACGTTTCTCCTTCCTCTCCTCTTATGTAACCTCTCCTCTCTAATTTAGGGCAGTGTGTGTGTGTGTGTGTGTTTGTGTGTGTGTGTGTGTGTGTGTGTGTGTGTGTGTTACATTGTCAGTTTGATGAAGTTGTCTTGTATTTGAAGTTCATGTCAGACCGACTCTGTAGTTTTCGGTATATTTACACGTTCTTGGTTCTTCTCTGTCTCTGCTGGTTCCACAAACACACCGACCTGATAATCAGTGTGTGTGTGTGTGTGTGTGTGTGTGTGTGTGTGTGTGTGTGTGTGTGTGTGTGTGTGTGTGTGTGTGTGTGTGTGTGTCTCTGGGCTCTGTCTCTGTGTGTACATGCATCTGTGTGTAGCGTCTGTTCTGCGCTCCTGAATTCACCCGTGCACATGAGGATGATCACATGAGGGGCTGAAGTAACAGAGACGTCGATAAATCCTGACAGAGACACACGAGCTGAAAACAGCTGAGGGAGGAGTCCAGGAACAAAGTCCACTTTAGGGGGGTCCTGAGGGGATCCCTGAGGCTCCGAGTTGTTGAGCGTAGATTCGACCATCATGAGGCTGGAGGGCGTTTTCTGGACTGATTTAAACTGATGTGGTTTCAGGGAGATGAGGCTGTTTTAGGATCAGATCACCTCTCTGTTGGTTCGTTCGTTCGTTTGTGTGTTGGTTTGTTTGTGTGTCGTTACCTGATGTCTGAACCCTCCTCAGCTGCTCTGTGTCGTACTCAGCTGAGTAACTCTGTCCACGCTGCTTTAGGAGAACACGATGATTCATGGAGAGGAGGAAATGTCAGTGACCACAGGAGCGAGGATTCATCAAAACTATGAACCATGAACTATAACAACGCTCATCCTCAGGTGTGCACAGATCTATACATGCTAGATGTCTCTGTCCTCATGTCAACTCCTCACACGGCCTCATAAAGACTCTCTCTCTCTCTCTCTCTCTCTCTCTCTCTCTCTCTCTCTCTCTTCTCTGTCGTTCGGTCAGAGTCTGAAATGCTGCCAAACTCAGAGGTCACTAACTCTCTGAATGACGCTCTGATTCACTGTCACATGACGTTCACATGTCCATCATCTCTGTACTGACGTTAATTTAACGTATTTCAATTATCATCATCATCATCATCATCATCATCATCCTAATCTTCATCATCATCATCATTATCATCAATATCATCATCATCATCATCATCTTCCTATTTATCCTCATCATTTTCATCACTGTCATCCTCATTATCTTTGTCATTGTCATCATCATCCTCATCATCATCTTCATCATCATCATCATCATCATCCTCATCATCATCATCATCCTTCTTATCATTATCGTCATCATCAATATCATCATCATCATCATCATCTTCCTATTTCTCCTCATCATTTTCATCACTATCATCCTCATAATCATTGTCATTGTCATCATTATTCTTCATCATCATAATTATAATCATCATCATCATCATCCTCATCCCCATCATCTTGTTCATCATCATCATCGTCATCATCATCATCGTCATCATCATTATCCCCATCATCATCATCATCATCATCTTCCTATTTATCCTCATCATTTTCATTGAAATCCTCATCATCCTCATCCTCATCATCAACATCATCATTATCATCATCATCGTCATAATTGTCATTGTCATCGTCATTATCATTATTGTCATCATCATCATCTTCCTTTTTATCATCATCGTTATCACCATCTTCATTCTCATCATTGTAATCATAATTACCCTCATCATCATTATTGTCATGGTGATCGTCATCATCATCATCATCATCATCATCATCATCATCATCATTCTCATCATCATCGTAATCATCATCATCATCATCATCATCATCGTAATCATAAGCACCCTCATCATCATCATCATCATCATCATCATCCTCATCCTCATCATCCTCATCATCCTCATCAGCTGGAGGCTCCTCTCTCAGCATCAGTATCATGTCTGATCCCTTCTGTGTTTCTTTTTCACCTCCTCCTCTCTGGATCTGGACTCAGTCAGAGTTCTCAGTGATGATTCAAATGTGTTTTTTTAAAGGAGAGATGAGCGCTGATGTCAGGTCATGTGAGCAGGATTAGCAAACGCTGGCGGAGGGACGGTTGCAGAAACAGCAGATGAGGGGGGAGGAGAGGAGGGACGCAGCAGGGGGGAGGAAGACAGCAGGACCAGAACCGAGGTAGAAGAATTACAGAGGGTATTTTAGAGCAGAAGAAAACCCGGACATGTCTTCACAGACAGACGGAGAGGAGTGAAAATAATCGTGATGAATAAGAAGTCATGTGACGGAGAGCTGCAGAGATCCAGGTGACAGACGAACAGATGTGAGAGTGTTTGAGTTTCTTCTTCAGCTGAGCGGAGGTCTGCACGTGGAAATGAAAGAGTTTATTTCAGGATAGGTTTGATCTTCACTCGTCCTCCAACATAAAGACAGCTCGCTCTCTCTCTCGCTCTCTCTCTCTCTCTCTCTCTCAGCCCGCAGTCATGTGACGCTCATGTTAACATGAGACGAGGGTCAAACTAGGCCAGCGGTTCAAGCAAAGCAATCTGTTCCCGTCTGAGACCCCCCAGCAGGATCTGTCCAACTCACACCAGCAGACAAACACCGACGCAAACCCCCCTGATGCTGGAGTCCTGGATCGAGCTGTGGTCGTTTCTTATTGGTTTAAAATCAAAGTATTAACCTTTACTGCTCTAACCTTCAACCACAGAGGTGTTCAGCTGGACCCGTGCAGGTCCAGACCAGCTCACTCACTGAAGACGGACCAGCAGCTGGAGACTGAACTGTTCCACATCAGACTGGATCACTACGCTCTCTTTAGGACGGTCAGAGCGGTTATGTAAACCACCTCCAGCTGCATGTGAGAAAAACAGCCAACCAGGAGGAGGAGCGAGAGCGAGCGCGTGTGCTGTCAACGAAACAACAGGAAGACGACCTTTTGGTAGACGTTCAGGATGAGGTGGACATTAGTGGTAAAGGAGAACCCAACGTCTCTACGGCATGATGATGATGATGATGATGACGATGATGATGATGATGATGATGATGATGACGATGACGATGACGATGACGATGATGACGATGACGATGACGACGACGACGATGATGATGACGATGACGATGATGATGATGATGATGATGATGACGATGATGATGATGATGATGATGATGATGATGGTGATGATGATGATGATGATGATGACGGGGAAAAACTGTGTTCTGATGGACTTGAGTCCAAAGAGGTTCTGGACTCATCAGTGAAACCTTCCGACTCTGAGGGAGACGGTAATTTAAGACTTCAGTCCTGCAGCATAAACAAACAACACACACACACACACACACACACACACACACACACACACACACACACACACACACACACACACACACACAGTCTCCGTTCTGGGCTGCCACCGAATCAATAATCCCATTACAGCTGAAAAGACTCTTATTTGTTCTGATGGAGTTTGTGGTGAGGAGGAGGAGGAGGAGGAGGAGGAGGAGGAGGAGGAGGAGGCTCATGATTAAAGCAGGACTTTCCAGACTGATGGTTCAATGGGAGGACTGGTATGAGAGCAGACTGACACACATCCAGGACTCCTCCTGGACCCAGATCTCATCAGCTCCTGTTCCTCCCTCTGAAGATAAGGAGTCAGTCTGGATGAAGACGAGAGTCACAACCTCCAAATCAGCTGAAATCTGATCTCTACCAGCTGAATATGAAGCATGCACAGCTGAGAGTTTAGACCTTAAAATCCTCTAAGAGTGAGACATCTCACCTCCTCACTATCTTTGCAGACAGAAGTGTGTGTGAAACAGCGAAACAGAGTAAAATAACAATAATAACTGACAGTGGAGTGAGACATCTCACCTCCTCACTCTCTCAGGTCAAACTGAAGCCGATCAGAACAGAAGCTGACCTCTGCAGCGTCTTCACATCAGAAAACCTCAGAGAGAGAAACGAGGCGCCTGTCAGATCTGAGGTTCAGACTAAAGGTCGGAGTGTTTGAAGAAAAACACGTCGGATTATTCTGTTTTTATTAAACAACGAAGATGGCGGCTTTAACTTGACCTGCACACGCATGTGTTTGGTTGTTGGTCTCTTCTGGAGTGAGTGGGCGGAGCATCAGTGAGCGCTGTGATCTTTATGCATCAAATAAACTTGATCCTCTTCTCTGCCTCCCGCCTGTTCTTCTTCTGCGCTCGTTTAGAGTCTGAGTCGACCTCCAAACCTGGATCCAGCTCCACGTTTGGACTGGTTTCCAGCTGCTGTTAGAGTGTGTGTGTGTGTGTGTGTGTGTGTGTGTGTGTGTGTGTGTGTGTGTGTGTGTGTGTGTGTGTGTGTGTGTGTGAGTGTGTTTCCCTCAGGCTGCTGCTGTAACAGTCTGCTCTTCATTGGCATTCACACCGCTGGCACTAAAAGCCCTCTGTGAGTACAGCGGCAGAGTTTGGCGTCTTTGATTTTGGCCGCACACTTCCTGCTGAACGCTCCTCCAACTCCAACAGCTGAAGAGGAAGATTCAAGACTGATGTGATTTAACTGGAGCTTTTACAGTATGTTTAAATAGAACTTAAATCACCGTTTAATATCAGTCAATAGTTATTAGTTATTGATGACCTTTGGGAATATCACGATATCGCCGTGTTTTGTCATGTCCATGTCCTCAACATTTGAAGACGCTGCTCCCCGTCTCGTTCAGGAGCCCAAACAAAGTTAGCGTGCTACAATATCGGACAGTAGAAACCAACCAGAAAGTTCGGAAAATTGTCTGAATCCTCCTTTGGCCACGACTGCCCACACAAGCAAGAAAACAGTCAAACATAAACAGTCAGCAAGAAAACAGTCAACACCAAAACAGTCAACAGGAAAACGGTCAACACCAAAACAGTCAACAAGAAAACAGTCAACCATGAACAGTCAAACCCAAAACAGTCAACCAAAAACAATCAACAGGAAAACAGTCAACAAGAAAACAGTCAACCATAAGCAGTCAGCAAGAAAACAGTCAACAAGAAAACAGTCAACACCAAAACAGTCAACACCAAAACAGTCAACAAGAAAACAGTCAACATCAAAGCAGTCAACAAGAAAACAGTCAACAAGAAAACAGTCAACCATAAACAGCCAGCAAGAAAAAAGTCAACAAGAAAACAGTCAACCAAAATGAGTCAACAAGAAAACAGTCAACCCCAAAACAGTCAACATCAAAACAGTCAACAAGAAAACAGCCAGCAAGAAAACAGTCAACACCAAACCAGTTAACAAGAAAACAGTCAACCCCAAAACAGTCAACCAAAAACAGTCAACAAGAAAACAGTCAACCATAAACAGTCCACACCAAAGCAGACAACAAGAATACTGTCAACAAGAAAATGCTGCTCCCCCCGTGTCGTTCAGGAGCTCAAACAAAGTTAGCGTGCTACAATATCGGACAGTAGAAACCAACCAGAAAGTTCGGAAAATTGTCTGAATCCTCCTTTGGCCACGACTGCCGACACAAGCAAGAAAACAAAGTAAATACCGGAGACTCTGGAGGAATAACGGGCGCTTAAAACGGAGGTAGACCGGACAAGAGCTAAAAAGCCGGGTCAACATAAACGATGGGGGACGCTTGGGGATCTTGGTGACCCTGTAACCTTTCTGCTGGACAGGTAAACCGCTTTAACAAAGTAAGACAAGTGTCTGTAACAGAAGTGTTTCTTGTCAAACGGACCTGCTGTAGCGTGTTGTAGCGCCATCGCTAAACTGTCCTCCCTCGGGTCCTGGACTATGTCACTTTATCCTCGTTGTAGAAGTCCTGCAAACATTGTGTTTGCTGGTAGTCTGTTGGCATCTACAGTAGCACCAATGCTTTTGACTTTCACCTTGACTGGGCCCCATTTGTAATGATCTGAAGGATTTATCTGCATTATATCTGAATTTAACTGGAACGATACGAGCGAGCAGGAGCGTCTGTTTGTGGGCGGGGCTTAAGGGGAGAGGAGGAGCTGAGGGGAAAACTGGTTGTGAGGGGTAGAGTTTACATTCAAGATTTCTCCTAAAAACTGGAACCTCCTCAGATCCTGAGTACAACACCTTTAAGTTCCATGATTAGATGATTAGGGATCGGTCACTGACAGACGTTTAAAGTCTGTTCACTTTGACCTGTAATAACTGTCTCTCTGTGAATTATCCTTACATAAGAGAGGAGAGCAGAGGAAGGATGGTGCCTGTTTAAATCTAACTTCATGTCCCAAATGACTCGCTGCTACGATCTCCCAGAAGAGCTGAGCAACACTTTAAAGCTCAGCTAGGTAGCAGAAAGCCCTGAAGGCAAACTTCTTCTCTTCTGGGTCTGAGTCGGGTTTTTGTTTTTTTCCGAGCAGACATCAGGGCTGAGGTAGAGAGACAGAGGAGGACTTTCATGTAGGAAGTTTGAGAACAGACGGGGAGATTGAAAGAACAAGAGGCCTGACAGGAGTGAATCTCAGACTGGCTTTCAAGTCATCGGTGAGAACGTAACTCCACTCCCAACTTCAGAGGAGAATAACAGAAAATATCGACTCTTACATAAAGTCGTTTCAGAGCCGAGAGCGAGTCGAGCAGAAAACTACAGTGGTAAATAATCCTCTATCTGTCGACTTTACAGCTGCTCATCTTTGTAGGACGACAAACTAACGTGAAACTCTTCAACAGGAACCAGTACCTGATTCTATGTGATCGATGGAAACAGTCGGCCAGACTGGACTGACTGTTTGTAGGTGAGGAGCGGAGGTCCGGTTCTGATCAGACCAGTCAGGACTTTAAGGTCAGAGACAAACAACAGCCAATCAGAGACTTGGTGTTTTCTTCTTTGCTGCTTTGGTTGATGAAACTCACAGTCTCACTCAGTCCGTTTCCATGACACTCCAGAAAACCGAATTATCGCCTTATTCCGATTAAGACCGGACAACTGAAGTTCATGTAAACACCTTAGTCTGATCAGAGTTTGAGAACTCCGATTAAGACGTGATTGGAATTCGATTTTCTGTACCGTGTAACCAGCGTAGTCGGAGTATCATCAGAAAATGCATGTGCGCCACACCCCCGGAGAAGAGGAGTAGCGTTGGTCTCCTCTTTAGAAAAAGTAGCGCGTCCATCATGTCGGACAAAAACAACGCAGTACGATGCTCCATCACACTTTATTTTCCCGGTTTACTAAACTCTCTCTACTTTATGTGACATCTTTTTTTATGTGTCTGTATGTGTGTGCGTGCGTGCGCCTGACAAAGATGGTTCATGTGTACCAAAGTGACCAAACTGAGCCGAGCCTTAAAGAGCAGGAGAGAGAGAGAGAGAGAGAGAGAGAGAGAGAGAGAGAGAGAGAGAGAGATGAAATAATTACAACGATTACTGCTTTAGCTTTATCTCTGCCTGGCACACACACTTACACACACACACACACACACACACACACACACACACACTCACACAAACAGAATATAATAGCTGTGGTAAGTGGAGCTCTGTCAGCACTAATGACAGTGTTGCCAGTTAAATAAGTGCAATAAGAGCGAGGAAGACGACGTCGTAATGAAAGCCTGTGAAGACGCTAACTAATGCTTTCACTGCAGCGCCTGCAGGAGCTTCACAGAGAGAGCTACATACATGACACATACACACACACACACATGTGCAATTACACACACATGTGCACAACGTTTGGAGCCGCTGTAGAGCAGATGTGCTCTTTAGTTCAGTGATTTGATCATTACAGGCGTGTGTGTGTGTGTGTGTGTGTGTGTGTGTGTGTTTGTGTGTGTGTGTTCAGACAGGTGTGTCAAATCACCTGAGAGTCACTTCAATGTTTAGATGAAGCCGTGATCCCAAACTAACGTCCAGCAGAGAAGGAAGAAGAAGAAGAAGAAGAAGAAGAAGAAGAAGAAGAAGAAGTCTCTCACCTGGTTCCTCTCCTCCGTCCTCCTCTCTCGTCTCCTCTTTCTTTATCCACAAACAAAAACAGCTCCTCGCTCGCTCTCGTCTCGGCGCTCTGCTTGTATCCTTAACGGGGATTTCTTGGTAAGGGAAGTTGTTCTCAAAGTCCGTCACCTTAATCGGTTATTTGTTCCTCTTGGATCTGAAGGACGTCCTCAGTGTCCCACAAACCTCCGCCTGGAAAACTGAGACACAAACGAGAGGAGAGAGCAAAGTGAGGAAACATTCAGTCTGATGTTTCACACACAGACGAGCGAACGTCAACGTTTGTCATCTTTATAACCTGATGAGAAATTGACAGTAAACTGCTGTTGTCTCCTTTTTAGACTTTTTTAATCGCTGCAGATCGAACCACCGTGTTTGACTCTTAATCTAATGATGTAACAGCCGTGTTTACACAGATACATATGTAGAGTTTATGATATAAAAATCCTCTGTATATTTCTCAATCAGCCAAGTGTGGTTGAAATGAAGCGTTACCGATATTTGTGCTGGAGAGGAAGAGAAAAATCTGAGCTGATAAAGCTTCACTTGGCTGCAGGGTTGGAGAGCGTGAGCGGAGATGTGTGGGAGAGCTGAGACTCCAGTCAGACGGAGAGAGAGAGAGAGTGAAGGAGAGAGAGAGAAGACAACTGAGTTTCTCTGCATACAAGCTTTGAAGGAACGAGAAACAAAACTGGGACGAGCAGAAAGATCTGTCTGTCCGTCTGTCTGTCTGTCTGTCTTCATTTCTCTTCTTCTCTCTGAAGCAGAAAAACTGTCGTTAACATCGGCCATAAAACAGGAAGTGCTGCAGATCTATCAGGGGTTAGGAGGTGACAGCTTCAGGATCATGAGAAGGTGCTTGTCTCACTCAGATTGTTTACAGTCTCAGTTTAATCCGACTAAACTCAGAATTCGTCTTTTTCTCTGAATCCGACTTCTCTCCTCGTCCTCGTTTACATGCAGCTGAGAAAATCAAAACGTGTCCTCCTCCTCAACACTAGGGGGCGATATGGGTCTTTTCAGCGGCGCTGTTTCCGACCCCATACAACCGTCAACAACAACAGCAGGTCGGTGTCAGACGTCAGAAGTGTCTACAACTGCTGCTGGGCATTTTGGAGAAACAAGAAGATGGAGCATCGTACAGCGTTGTTTTTGTCCGACATGATGGACGCGCTACTTTTTCTAAAGATGAGACCAACGCTACTCCTCTACTCTGGGGGTTTTGACACCTGTCACAGCTCACCTCAGAACATCTATGAACAGTTCCTCCATATAACTGTCTGAGGAACGTAAACTCACACCTGACCGCTTTCCTCTCTCTTCCTCTCTCTCCCTCCTCTTCTTCCACCCTCACCCTAACACTTCCACAAACCCCCTCAGTCTGAATCGGTTCTGGAGAGCCCGGCCCCGTCGCCCCGCACTGAGCCGAGCGTGACATCTCATTTCCTGCAGTAATACTGAGCTGATCCTTCTCCTCCGTCACAACCTCAATGGAGAGGAGACGCTGCATTAGACCTGATCATGAGCAGGAACAGGAAGCTTCTTCATGCATGTTAGGAGACACGCACCATGACAACACACGTGCACGCGCCCGAGCACACACAAGCTAAACCTGTTCCCAGTGAGAGCATGATTTGCATGCAGACGTTAAGCTAACACACACACACACACACACACACACAGATGAGGAGTGTCTCCCCTGAGAGCTCTTACTCCAAAAACACATCAGGACTAAAAAAAGCACAATAAAAAAAAAACAGTTCTCATTGAAAAGTCTCTCCGGTGTTGGATCTCTGCAGAACCAGCTTCACAATAATCCCTCATGATAAGATCTTGAGCCCATCTGAGGCCTGCATGTTTGTCGTCTCCGTGTTTGACAGGAATCTGACTCTCCTTGTAAATCTGGATTTTATCTCCATGCCTCGTCCTCACATTGTGTTGCAGTCACATCGTAGCTGAGGTCAAAGCAGATTCTCTCTTTCAGCCCAAAGTCAGTATCGCTGTCAGCTGAACTTCGCCTAAATCTGTCTTCGAGCTTGAACCATGACCATTTTGGAAACTCCTCCAGTTCTCCTCCGGGGACTCCTTTGGGTCAAATTGTCAGCTTTTCTTCACACGATGTCAGAAACTTATGTCCAGATTTCCGTTAAATGTTCTGCGGATGTTCCTGCTCCCTGAGGGATGAATTCTAATATTTTGGGCGAACCCTCTGACCTTTCGTGTCGAGGCGGCGGTTTCTGGCTAAAGCTGAGTAATCTGCTCTGAAGCAGCCTGAATTAACCCAGAACATCACGCTGGAGAGAAAATATCTCTGTGCCACTCTGGACTTTTTTTAACTCCTGCTCTTATAGAGGTCAGCTCTGTAAATCTTATCCACATCGTCTTCAACCATCTTTCATTTTTACCCAAATGATGGCGCTCCAAGAATAAGATCATTAAAAGTTCTGCCTGTGCAGAGCTGCGTTCAGAGCTTCATACAGACTCAGTCCACTGATTCCTGTTCAACTGTTTGTTACAGTGACGGATCTTCATCACAGCAAAGTTTCTACAAAAATCAAGGACTTTATCCAAGGACGTGTTCTAGTTTCTCTGAGAAGCTCATCTGGAGAACTTCATGAGATTTGGCCTGAACATGATGTCACGTTCTGTCGTCCAATCAAGGGCAACGATGCAGGACACGCCCATCCTGAAGCTGAGGGTCTGTTTCCCTGCAGGTCTTTGAAGACCAGGACAAGCCTCAGTCATTTTCTACAAATTCAGAACTGAGCTGTGTAAAAAGTAACACCAGCGAGCTGAGTCGGACTTTCTATCAGTGTGAAAGCAGACAGTGATGGGGTTCAGTCAGAGGCTGAATGAACCTGGAGTAGAAGAATCTAGAGTTAATGAATCTAGAGTGAACTAATCTGGAGTGAATGAATCTAGAATGATAGAATCTGGAGTAAACGAATGTGGAGTGAATAAATCCAGAGTGAAACAATCTAGAGTGATAGAATCTGGAGTTAATGAATCTAGAGTAAATGAATCTTAAAGGGATAGAATCAAGAGTGAACGAATGTAGAGCGAATGAATCTGGAGTAACGAATCTGGATTGAACGAGTTTGGGGTTAACAAATCTGTACTAAATGAATCTGAAGTAAATAAATCCGGAGTGAAAGAATCTTAAGTGATTGAATCTGGACTGAATAAATCAGGAGTGATAGAATCTGGAGTGAACGAATCTGGATTAAACGAGTCTTGAGTAAACGAATCTGGAGTGAATAAGTCTGTCTCCTTTAACTGTAGACCCCAGACTGTCCTGCAGCCTCTTCTTCTTCTTCTTCTGCTCGTACTAAAAGTCTAAATAAAGTCTCGTTCTCTTCAAACCGTTAAATGAAGGTCAGTAAACGGAGACAAAAGCCTGAAATGATTGAGTCATAATTTCAAACACAGACTTCATGTGTTTCTTCTTGTTTAGTAAAAGTGTTTTTTTTTCTCTCTCCGGTCTCTGAGGTGTTCTCAATTATAAATGGACATGGTGTCCTGTCTCTGCTCTCAGAGTGTCTTCATCAGACTGAGATGTTCCTGACCTCGTCCACATGAATTTTGAATCCTCCTCCAGCATGTTTCCACCTCTAAAGTCTTCAGTTGGACGCTCACTCAGACTCAGAGGTCCTGAAGGAGCTCGGAGCAGGTTTTGCTGTTTTTATTACAAACATTTTCCAGAGTGGACACCTGTAACTAATTACCAAAGGTGTTAATATGCTTTCATCTTATTTATCTGCTGGTGCATATGTTCACTGTATCTGTGCTCCTCTCTCTCTCTCTCTCTCTCTCCCACTCATAGTCCCATCAAAGCGAAGCAGCTGCTGACACAATGAGAGGGCTGGAAATGAATCAGACGCTTTCTCCTCTGTTCACTCGCATTAAACACAAGCCTTACTCATGGCACCGAGCAGTCAGCGTTTTCCAGCTTCAACACCTTCTCCCGGGTCCATGGGCGGATTACACAAATGAGTTACAGAATCCCAGGAGTGTGGGCGCCTGTGTCTTTGCATTTCTACACGTCCCTGAATTTCAAACAGCTCTCTGCAGGCCGGACTTCTCTGTCCAAGACGACTGAAGTGGACAGAGTGACAGAACGGGAAACTTAACTCTCACAGCAGTAATTATGCATCAAATGTTCATTTTAGGATACAGAAACCAGACTTAATTAAGCTCATACTGATTAAAACAGGCACTTAAGTACATAACACATTTAACGAGGGGCCCGGACAATTTTAGCCTGTTGGAGATCAATCGGTAATCGGCCAAAACTCGCAGATTTTCGCCGATATTTTCAGAAATAAAATGCGGAGAATAAGATTCAGTTTCACTTTGAAAATGTTCCTCCATTTGAAAAGTTCCCCGACTTATCCTGTAGATGGCGCAGCGACCTCATGACAATCCCCATCCACTAACTACCTCACAGCAATAAGTCAACAAGTTTCAGTTCAACCCACTTCACCATGTTCCCCGCTGTGCTGGTCTCGGTCACGCCCACTTAACGCTGAAGCACCATGGGATATGAAGCTAAAGTTAGAGTTAGCCACCTGCTATTAGCCTTGCTACACTGTTAGCCGTGTCAGTAACGGTAGAATAAACAACAGTACACATTAGTGATCGAGATACTTCTCTGACTGAGGCAGCTGCATGTCTGCAGATCAGACCGGACCGGAAATGAGGAACGGGAGTGAAGACGGAGGAACCGATCAGCGGCGGCAGGGGGTAGTAGTCGAAAACGCTTTTCTGGTCCGAGTTTGATCAGTTGGTCTTCCTGTCGGCGCTTAAAGCAGTAGCCTACAGTAAATCTACAGTACATATATATATATTTTTTCTAACTTCATAAAAAGTTTTATAAATCGGCCGATTAATCAATAATCAGATTTTTTTCCCCCCTAATAACATGAACAACAACAAAGATGAACCAATAACAGATAAATCAGTAAACACCAATGACTGACTGCACGACTCAGGATATCCAGATATAAATATAACCCAAACTCTACTATCATGTATTTATAACCCAAACTGCTCCGTCAGAATATCCAGGTATTTATTCCTCACACACTCGACAGCTGTCTCCTGGTGGGCTGTGATTGGCCCGTCCCAGTCTCCAGTTTAGAGCGGATCTGTATGTCCTCGGTGTTTCCATCTTTATCTGTAAACTTCACTCACAGCCCACCCCAGCAGACCTCACACAGGAGTCCCCTGAATACTTCTGCCTCCTTCTCACAGCGCGGTTTATAATTACAGGGAAAGGAAATCAGAAATCATTCGAGGGGGAAACAGAACTGGGAAAGGTGATCAGTCCAAAAGAACTCCAGTATGCTCCAGTATACTTGTGCCTCTGTTATTTCTCTGATCACCAGCTGTTGTTCCTCTGGTTGTTGACGCCCAGAAAAGATTGGAGATGATGACGTTAATGAACTCTCTGTTCATCCAGACACAGACACAGAGGTGGAGCTGACGCTTTAGCCCAGCACGCCTGTCTTTAGAGAAGATACTGGTCCATCTGTGCGTAAGTCTGAAGATGATCAGATGGATGAGTTAGAGACGATAGAGACCTGAACCGCTCATTTAAAAAAACTGATCCCTGAATTAGGGCTCTGATGGGGTCACCTGGTATTAAGAGACAGCCTCAAGTGGACACTTGAGGAAGTGCAGCGTTCAGTCTTTGTTATCCCACCCTGGAGGTTCATGTTTACACTGATCAGTGGGCTCAGAGTTCTGATGAGTCAAGAGTTCGGTTCACCTCACTCCCACCTGGATTACATGATGATTACATTAAATATTCAGCTGTGAAAGCTCTGCCTCATAAACCCACACCAGGTTTGACTCTCAGCTTTGAAGTCTTTGAAAGTCTTTGAAAGTCTTTGCATTGGCGTCGTCAAATCCAGTGAGTAATCTAGCGAGTCTGAACGCCAGTTCTTTACCGCCAGCTTCTTATGTCTCTTCTGTTTCGCCGCTCTCGAGTTTCTAATTTCAGAAAACTGATTTCTTGAGCATGAGAGAGTCATGACCTCTCCATCTGTATCTTTGCACGCAAACATCTCTTAATTAGCTTGATATGAGCCTACACTGATCAGTGTGTGTGTGTGTGTGTGTGTGTGTGTGTGTGTGTGTGTGTGTGTGAGATTGCTCGGTGCGTTGGAAGAGCAGTGAAAGATACCTAATTATACTTGAGAGGCTTTCTGGCACAAATATTTTCTATATGATTCCTGCTCAACAGGAAATAAATCTCCTGAACACATGAATAGATAATAAAGTCAGAGTTCATCCTGACCATCGGGTTACGTAAACATCGGATTGTTCTGCTTCCTGATGAGAAATTACCATGAATCATGTAAATATGAGAGTTTCAGATTTTAATTTTTACTCTTACATCTAATGATAAAAATTACCCAGAAGTCCTTCGACCTTTAGAAACATGACAGCTGACTTAAACATAAGAACAGCTCCACGTCTCAATGAGGCGCCGAGAAGCAAAAATCCCAAACAGACATAAAAACCGACTCTACGTCAAACTCAGTCCTCAGGGCTGAAGACGGAGGCGTCAGAGGATGAGACATGAGGGGAGCAGGTGTGTGAGTCAGGAACAAAGGTCAGAGGACACAGGTGGACAGCTGAGCTGGAGGTTGGACAAAGACCGCTTCTGTCAGATAGAGATGCCAAAGGTCCGATCACATGTCGAGGAGTCGTCCTGAAGAACGGCGTGTTTCAAAGCCCAAGTGAGACCAAGTCTGCAGAAAAACACGTTTAATCTCATAACCCTCTAATGAAGAGCCTCCGATTCATTCTGATAAGAGAGGAGGGGGTGGGTTAATCTAATGTGAGCACACCTCCTCAAACTGAGGAGACGAGGAGGAGAAGAAGGAGGGAGGAGGAGTGAAAGTCAGCATGTCCATCTCCATCTCTCATCCATCTGTCTCTCTGTCCTTCCTTCAAGGCTCATGTGTCCTTCACACTGATGGGCAAAAAATCGGACACCAAGACTGGGGGGTCGGGGGGGCATAAAGGAGAGAGAGAGAATGTTGAAAGAACGACAGATCAATAACAGAACGACAGATCAATGACAGAACGACAGATCAATGACAGAACGACAGATCAATGAAAGAAAAGAATGACACATCAATGACAGAACGACCAGAACGACAGATCAATGACAGAACGACACATCAATGACAGAACGACAGATCAATGACAGAACGACAGATCAATGACAGAACGACACATCAATGACAGAACGACACATCAATGACAGAACGACAGATCAATGACAGAACGACACATCAATGACAGAACGACACATCAATGACAGAACGACACATCAATGACAGAACGACAGATCAATGACAGAACGACAGATCAATGACAGAACGACAGATCAATGACAGAACGACACATCAATGACAGAACGACACATCAATGACAGAACGACACATCAATGACAGAACGACCAGAACGACAGATCAATGACAGAACGACAGATCAATGACAGAACGACCAGAACGACAGATCAATGACAGAACGACACATCAATGACAGAACGACACATCAATGACAGAACGACCAGAACGACAGATCAATGACAGAACGACAGATCAATGACAGAACGACAGATCAATGACAGAACGACAGATCAATGACAGAATGTTCAAGTGTTGCAATTTTAAACTGCTGTTGATGAACTTTAATGTGTGTGTGTGTGTGTGTGTGTGTGTGTGTGTGTGTGTGTGTGTGTGTGTGTGTGTGTGTGTGTGTGTGTGTGTGTGTGTGTGTGTGTGTGTGCGCTGTACATGTTTGACCCAACTATTGGTTATTTAAGTGTTCCATGCACCGTAGACTGGAATGTTAGGAGTGGACGAGCTGACTGAAGCAAGATGGCCGACATGCGCGGACGTTGGTCTCCATTGGTTAACAGTGTGCGTAAGCCATCTAGCATTCGTATATATATATATATATATATATATATATATTTATATGTATATATATTTATATGTATATGTATATATATGTTTGAACCTGTCCTGGAGCTTCTCTGCTCAGTCATGAATCAGACTCGTGATCAATCAGGAGATCTTGAAAGTGTGCTTCAGTTTTTGATCTATCTGAGGTCTATCAGGGTGGATGGAGGCAGTGAAAACGTGGATTTAAAAGAACTTGAAATGGTTGGACTAGATGGTCCTGATCTTTAGGGCGTTAAAAACAGACAGGATTCTGGAGTGGGAATCACCGCATGGAAAGGACAACTGGACTTACTTGAGACATTTCGCCTGTAAGTCCAGTTGTCCTTTCAACAAAGAACTGGAAATTCTAGATGCTTCCATGCTTACATTTATATCTGTCTTTGAACTGGATCTCTGACTCGTTCCAGGTCTCAGCACCTCCAGGCTGAATAAGAGATCTGATACTGGGATACTGGAGTGTGTCTAAATAATAGAGCAGGCCTCTGGGTCTGGACTATTACAAAACATTACAGTAATTTTGTCGTGTATTTTAATCTTAGAAAAACATGCAGAAACCCCCCAAAGCATCCTGATAATCCTCCTGCTCCGAATCATTGTAAAGCAGAGATTTAATCCAAGTTTGTTTCTGAATCGATTATGTAACAGAAAGGAGCAGCGGCCCAGTTTCCAAAACCTCCGTCACTAAAATAACTCTGCATTTACGCCAGCTCGGCACTTTCTATGTTTCGGAGAGGGTTCGACTCTTCCTGATAAACCTGAAAGATTATCGTCCCTCATAAATCTGAGTGTTGGAGCCTTTCTCTGAGAGAGCAGAGCTTTGTTATCCGCAGAATTAAAGATGTGATTTCAGTGTGGAGATGAGCTTTTAATGTCCTCATCAGGCTGATTTTATGAGGACAAAAATAAGAAGTGTCAGAGTTTTAATAGCTCAGTAAAACCTTTAAAACAAAGTGTGAATAAAACAGATTCAACAGAGCGAAGCTTCGAGGGTTTGGACTCCAACAGCAGCAGTGAGGGTCCGCTTAATGTGAGCCGTTCAGAACCACGCCACACGCCCTGAATGAGAACCATCGTTACCAACAAACACCTCAGACACACACACACACACACACACACACTTGTCTGAGCTTTGTCGCCTGGCTGGTGGATTAAGTGTGAGCATTTGTGAAATCATTTGACCCCCCGGGGCCGCAGAGAGGAGTGTAAACGCTGCGTGTGTGTCTGAGGTGTGTGTGTGTGTGTCTGAGGTGTGTGTGAATGCCTGCACTCTGCTGAGGTTTGTGCACATCTTGCAGCGTATGTTCGTGTCGGCGGCCTGCAGCATGTCTGTGATTCAGCTCTGCAGGAAAACTGCGAGAAAACGGGATTTTACCGTCAAAAGTACCGAGAGTGAAAAAAGGACAACAGTTTCAATTCCTTTGGCTGCTTTTAAGAGAGGAGGTGCAGCGATCAATTCTGTTATTGACTGAGAGGAGAGGTGGCATTTGTTCGACTATTGATCCCTCAGCAGTTTATTTCTGCATTTTAGCCTCCATGACTGCAGACTCTGAGCCAGAGCAGGTTAGTGAACCTCATCTGAGACAAACAGAGACTATTTCTGACTGAGAAGATACACACACACACACACACACACACACACACACACACTCAGTCAGGATCCAGTAAAAAATTGGTGTGCGCTCCACTCCAAACCTCTCCTGAGTGCAGATGTGTGCCTGAACGCTGCAGGCTTGGATGTGTTCTTAATCTCTAATCCGCTGGAATAAAGTTTAATTTCACTGAAGCCCAAACACCTGTCAGCTTTACCGTCCCAGCAGAGGAACGCAGCCCACGGCCCACTTCTCCGAGTTTGGTCTTTAGTTTCATTTCAGGTAGAAAAGTGTTTGAACGTCTTTCTTTGAGTTTACCTGCAGAGATCTGAGCAGAGCTGAGGAGAAACCTCAGACCCTGAAGCTACACAGAGATGTGGAGTCTCAGAAAGTCTCTCGAGATCAAACGTGATCTCAGACCTGAAAACATGGTGGGCTGCTGGAGCTTTGAGCTGTGGAGTCCTGACTTCAGATCTTAGTGTGGTTCTGTTCGGCTGGTTTTAGCTTCACTGTAAATTCAGGCTCATAAACAGAAGTTTAGGTTGAACTCCACAGAGTGTAAGAACTCCAGCTGCAGAGCTGAGTCTGTTTATTGGTTCATTTAGAGGTGGAGTAGGCAGGAATCTGTTAAAGAAGCATCTTATTTTGTGGTGTATATAATAAAAATCTTTAAATATCAGTCAATAGTTATTGATGACATTTGGTAATATATGGATATCTCTGTGTTCTCTTATGTCTGTGTCGTCAACATTTGAACATTTTTGAGCGGTCCGCTCTTTCTGACTGTAAACAAAGCCGTTCTCCACCTCCTCTAACCTGATTGGTTGTGAGGCAGACGCTGCTCCCCCGTGTCGTTCAGGAGCCCAAACAAAGTTAGCGTGCTACAATATCGGACAGTAGAAACCAACCAGAAAGTTCGGAAAATTGTCTGAATCCTCCTTTGGCCACGACTGCCGACACAAGCAAGAAATCACTCAAACATAAACAGTCAACACCAAAACAGTCAGCAAGAAAACAGTCAACAAGAAAACAGTAAACAAGAAAAACAGTCAACAAGAAAACAGTCAGCAAAAAAAACAGTCAACAAGAAAACAGTCAACCATATTCAGTCAGCAAGAAAACAGTCAACAAGAAAATGCTGCTCCCCCGTGTCGTTCAGGAGCCCAAACAAAGTTAGCGTGCCACAATATCGGACAGTAGAAACCAACCAGAAAGTTCGGAAAATTGTCTGAATCCTCCTTTGGCCACGACTGCCGACACAAGCAAGAAAACAAAGTAAATACCGGAGACTCTGGAGGAATAACGGGCGCTTAAAACGGAGGTAGAGCGGACAAGAGCTAAAAAGCCGGGTCAACATAAACGATGGGGGACGCTTGGGGATCTTGGTGACCCTGTAACCTTTCTGCTGGACAGGTAAACCGCTTTAACAAAGTAAGACAAGTGTCTGTAACAGAAGTGTTTCTTGTCAAACGGACCTGCTGTAGCGTGTTGTAGCGCCATCGCTAAACTGTCCTCCCTCGGGTCCTGGACTATGTCACTTTATCCTCGTTGTAGAAGTCCTGCAAACATTGTGTTTGCTGGTAGTCTGTTGGCATCTACAGTAGCACCAATGCTTTTGACTTTCACCTTGACTGGGCCCCATTTGTAATGATCTGAAGTATTTATCTGCATTATATCTGAATTTAATTGGAACGATACGAGCGAGCAGGAGCGTCTGTTTGTGGGCGGGGCTTGAGGGGAGGGGAGGAGCTGAGGGGAAAACTGGTTGGGAGGGGTAGAGTTTACATTCAAGATTTCTCCTAAAAACTAGAACTAACTCAGATCCTGACTACAACACCTTTAAATCACTGTAACTTCAAACTGATGCAAACAAAATCTACAGTTTCATTTGAGGCTCATGAAGGGCCCCGTCCCTCTCTGGGCCCCCCCGAGTCGTCGGTCCTGGATCAGATCCGGTTCTTGTTCTGGTTCAGGTTTCTGTTTCTTCTCTCTAAAATAAATCGGCTTCGTTCACATTTAAAACACTAAAAACACATTTAAAGGAAACAGAGTCTGTGTGCAGAATACTAACAGACGCTTAGAGAGAAGACACACACACAGTAACACACACACAGTAACACACACACACACGCGGAGGGAGAATACAGTCTGTGTGTGAAACTGCAGATGCAGAGTGGGTGACAGAGCTGAAATATTTATACCCAGATCTGAGAGAGGGAGAGAGATCGAGGGAAAGACGGATGGATAACGAGGAGGAGAAGAAGAGGAGAGGCAGTCGAGAAAAAAGAAGAGTGTCAGAGTGTGCGTGTGTGTGTGTGTGTGTGTGTGTGTGTGTGTGTGTGTGTGTGTGTGTGTTTATGCATGAGTGTGAGTAAGAGAGAGAGAGAGAGAGGGATGAGTGTGCGGCACAGATGCCAAATGAATCTAGGGCAGTTCAGAAAAAAAACACGGCATTATTCCAAAATCCACTTTGTACGTGAGTGCAAGTTTCTGTAATTGTATTTCTGTGTGTGTGTGTGTGCGTGTGTGTGTATAGGTGATGTGTGCATCCGTCTGATGTAAATGTGAAATGCCAAAGGCTCCAGTGTGAGTGGAAATACCGAGTCTCTGCTTTCTTCAAGCTTTTTATTCATCCTGCTTTAACAATTACAGAGCTCTCTGCCTCACACCCACTCTAACACACACACACACACATAAACACACACGTATTAACACACACACATGTATCCAGGGTGACATTTTTATCTCCTTGATCAAACTCCTAGTCTGGAGGATTTGTCTCTGTGAGCATGGCTGTGGGTTAACAAGGGTGGGGGATTGGCACAGAGCGAAGATGATGGCAGATGGTGTCCTTACTTAACACACATACTGTAAACACACAAACACACACAAACGCACACAAACACTGTCTCAGCAGATACGCCCTCGTACAGAGAGGGGAATTACTACATGCAGATCGTGTGGAGCTCATCATTAATGCATAGATCCACACATGGAGCTTCTACAAACATCTTCATCTACAGCCTCAGATCATCCTCAGAATCCCGTACATGAATTCATTCAGTCACCGTTAGGAGTCTGAAAACCCTTCAGAATGACATTTATTCTGGTTAAATAAGCTCCTCCCCCTTTAACACTGATAACATTAATGTTAATGATCTGTGTGTGTTTCCACAGAGCCGCTCCTCCAACCCTGATGGTCAGATTTGACATGAAGACAGTTCCCCGTCACAGTCAGTGTGCTAAAAACACCAGTGGGTGAGTGTGAGCCCGTGGAGCCTGAAAATAGCAGCACTAACAGTAACAGCTGCAGCTGATTGTGAGTCATGTCATGATCTTTTCTTCCTCAGGAGGTTATTAAACCAAAAACAGGAGGACTGAGTGAAGATCAGAGGAGAGTCTTCCTCCTGGAGGAGCTCAGAGCTGCAGTCAGTCAGTGTTATTAAAAAAAAACACTCAGACTAACCAGAACAGAGTTTGTCATTCAGAGCGTTAGAGTCATACAGGACTGAGCCGTTCCATCCATTCTGGGATATAGATCCGTATTTTTCGGCCGTACATTAAGTGTCTTTAAAATTCTCCTGGTTCGGCCCGGTGCACTGTTAAGCCGAAATCATCCAGGATCCGTATTGAGCGCGTTGTTCCGTATTGTCTGCGTAGAGCAGCATTCAGACAGAGTTACTGGCAATCTCCACCTTCATCCTGATCGTCTCCTAAAAGGTCGTATCCTCCGATCGTAGCTGATCGTAACGTGTCAATTTACACCGACTTCTTTCTGTTCCTCTGAGGATCGCCAGACTCCTCAGCTGATCACAAGAGTTCTATTTTTTCTGGACGCCGGAGCATGGCGGATAAATTCAGCACAGATTAACCCGTGCTGGAAAGGAAGTCGGGCACAGACACAAAATAAAACATCCGGCTTCTTTTCAAAATAAAACACTCCGGCGGAGACGAACAAGTGAAAGGTTTTTAGACGTCATTTCACCCCGATGACACCATGGATGAGGAGATGCTGATTCTAGAAGTCTAGAAGTAGATTTCCTCTGGAAGGACACAATCTACTGCTTATATGTCTATGTGTCTGTCTTTAGAGAGACAACTCGTTATCGTGAGATTGAACGTGAATCTGCAGGTTCTTGTGAGTTCTCACGATTCCTGCTGTCTGTAATCTGCTATGAAATTCGCCTCATAAATGGATCAGGTAGGAATTGGTGTACTGTGAAAATCACCGCCGTTCTGGATGCGGCGGAAATCCCGGGTTAGCAGTTCAAAGTCCTGTTGGGGTCCACATGGATCAGGGATCGACCATCAGATTGTTCTGTGTTCCTGATAAATCCAGAACCAGGAAGGATTTCTCATCTACACCAACTGATACAGTCAGGAGTTCATATATGGTGTTTTATTTTGAAATACCGAATGACTCGCGTGGTTTTCATGCTTGACTTCCTGTCTTGAACGATTGACAGGCGTAGAGCAGCAAAAATCGACTCGCCGTGTATCTTTAGCAGAGCTGCTCTCGATATGATGCTGAAACACGTCCTGTACGCTCTGCTGCTTTGATTAGAATGGAAACTTATTTGCTGCGAGATACACGTGATCGTGATCCTACGGTGACTTCAGGCGTGCGGCTCTGAGTTCGGTGTGTTCTCACGGTTAGAGGTAAAAATCCTGAACTGGGTTTGGTTTGATACCGACTCACAAAGCAGACCTACTTTCCTCTCAGACCAAATCCAGCTCAGTGTTTTCAGGGACACGCTATTTTGTTAATGCATCAACTTATTTCCAACGTCTTGTTTTGACTCCATTTATTATATTGCTGTCTGTCTGTCTGTCTGTCTGTCTGTCTGTCTGTCTGTCTGTCTGTCTGTGGACGTTAGGATTATATGACATCTCATTTCTGGGGTTGTCTCCAGTCTCTGTATGGAGACATTAGATTTCTGCGTCCCTCTCGCTCCGCTCAGCATCTTTCCCCCGTCTCAAACGTTTCGTCATCGTCAGCTCGAACCCCCCCCTGCTGTGTCAGTCGTGTTTCAGTCATGAAGCGCTCAGCTGTGAATCTATTAATTCCAGAGCTATAATACGGTATCAGCGTCTGATTGGTTCCTGCAGAGAGACGCTGAGCTGCTTTATTCACCTGTTTCTGCACATGTGGATTTAAAGGTGATGAGAAATAGTTCTGCTAATCTGAGTATTGATCCATGATTGATCCATGAGTGATGAACCTTCAGGGCTGTGTTTCCCTGTGTGGATCTGCAGGTTAAACTGAGCAGGTTATTATGATGATATTTTTACAGCTCTTTTTATAAACCGCTGTGTTTATGATTCATGAGCCTGACTGCCTACCACGGTATACCTGCTTTTAAGGGTTTTTCCTTCCTCCTCTGCTGTCTCCCACACTCTCTGCTCTCCTCTCTCGTCTCATCCTCCCATAACGCTCCTGTAAAAGCTGCGGATTCTCCCTTTAACTGAACTTAACCCAATCACACCTCAAACTTCCTCCTTCCCTCAGAAACCTGATCATAAATCTCCGTCTGCCACGTCTCTCGCGGTCTGTCGCCTAAAGGGACCTCCCACAGGTTCCTGGCAGTGAAGGACTGACGGCTGTTGCGAAACATGTCTGTTGTATTGATTGTAAAGAGCGCTGCAACAGCTGGTAGGCTCAGAGAGAGCGCAGTGTGCTGCTGCTGCAGCCAAGATTGTGATGTGGAGGAGTGAGCAAGTGTGAATGCCTCCCAAAGGGTTATCCCTCTCAGGATCTTTGCATAATCCTCTCTGATGGATACTCAAATCGATGAGGAGGGCGTGGCAGCGAAGGGGAGGAGCCAAAGATGGGAGATGGTTGAATGTGGGCCAGAGAGCTGACAGTGAAACAGAAACAGAGGAGCACAGAGTGTACCGCCGCTCTGGATCTGGGCAGGCTTCACACTGAAATGATCATCTTTTCATCCAGAGGCGTCTATCTCTCGCTGCACAGATCGACAGAAACACATAAAGACGACAGGAGGATAAATGATTCAAGATGTTGAAGGGTGGATTTAGGTCAGCTAAAGGCCCATTCTGCATTTTCATGACCGCAGCCAAATACATATTTATATTGCATAAGAAATTGAGGAGGATTAAAGCAAACATGTAATTTTAGAAATAGTTCTTACATTTAAGCTCCAGTCTGGAATTTTCTCATGTTTATGAAGCAGAACTATTATTGATGCGTTTTTATGATCATATCTAAAAGAAAACAAGAACTTTTTACATCAGACGGTATTTCAGCTCATCTGTGAGTCGATGAGGGAGAAGTGAAGAGTGTTTCAGTTGTCCCCCGTCTAAGTCTGTCTTCACACTGCAGGTCAATTCACATTTTTCACCATATGTGACACATATCGGATTGTTTCATGTACCGTATTTTTTTCGCACTATAAGGCGCACTTCAAATCCTCTTGGCTTGTCGGAGCGCTGCAGCTACCGTAACCTCGCAGAGTTACTAAATAAAAAATACTGAAAAATATAGTAAGTGTGAACAGTGCAATTCAGATTTTTTCAAATCTGACCCAGGCCTCTTCTGTATGTGGATATAAATCGGATATGGGTTACTTCACCAATGTTCAACAACACAAACAGGCACGGAGAGCAATTTGTGGTTTGTGCACATGTGGGTCACTTCACTGACGCATTCTGTTCACATTAGATGCCGCATTCGATGTTGTAATGTAACAACCGCACAAAAAGATCGGATTTAACTAAAAATCCGATTTGTGCATCAGAACCTAACGTAGCCTAAGAGGAGGTGCACAAGCCCAAAACTTCACCAAAGTCCAACAACCCAAACCTCGACTCACACGCACACTCAGGTAGATGTTGTGCTGTTACCTTCAGACAGGGTTACTGGCAATTTCCACCACATCCTGAACGGCACAAAAAGGTCGTATCCTCCAATCGTAGCTGATCGCAAGAGTTCTATTTTTTCCGGACGCCGAAGCATGCGTGGTCTCCGGAGTGGGAATCAACGCATTGAAAGGACAACTAGTAAGTAAGTCCAGTTGTCCTTTCAACAAAGAACTGTTCCTTTAAGGTTGGAGCGTCTCCACTGATGGTACCGTTTCATCCAATCCAAGTGTTAATGCGGAGACAGCATATGGTCCATCAGAAACCATCAAGCTAACGGGGACACACACACACACACTCTGCACATTACGATTGTATGACTAATGCATTTTGCATATTTTATTGAGTCAACATCTCTCTGAAGGAAGGTGCTGCCAAGTCCTACATTTGCATAAAGATAAGCAGAGAAGTGGGTTTAAGGTCCCGGATCAGCGCCGAGCTGCGGCCTCACAGGACCGCGTTCAGCCCGGCACATTAGAGCCGCGAGTGTTTGACCCGTACCTGTTAGTGAAAGGTGAATTAATTATGTCTGCGGAGCTCTAAGTGTCTCGGCCTCTCTGCTCCCAGGTCACACAGGTATAAAGGCGCTAATGGCTCCTCTTATTAACTATTCAATACGTCCTCAAGTTCTGGCCCGTTGGATCTTAATTGGCCCAGACAGTTGATGGAAATCCCTTCAAAGATTGAGAGTCTGGTTATTCCAGTCATCCATCAGGCTAAATGAGAGTTGATCCAGAGTGCAGCAGCAGCAGCATGTCTGGATTATTCCTCCGGATCATGTTTTCCTTGTATTTACAAAGATATTTGAAATTGTATTTTTGAAGGTTTGCGTCCCAGACTGCGATTAATCCTCCTGTTTCTTGGCTGCCTTTGTGATGCTCCGGTAATCCAGTGTTTCAGCGACACTGTTGTTATTTTTTTCTTCTTATTTCATCCACAGAGTGAATCCTCCAGAATCTGTTTGCATGTCTGGGAGGAAAATTACACTTCAGGTTTCTCTCAGGGTAGCATCCATCACCTCTTAAGAGCGGAGCTAACAGGCGGCGCTATGGATCCCCTGAGTTATGGTCAGCGTAGTTCAATAGTTTACTGATGAACTGGAGATTACATGGCAACAAGGCAGCGGCTCGGGTCGGTGGGTGGTCATTATTCAGGTCTCCTCGGCCTGCAGTCCCGCTGATTTCCTGGAACACCGGCTGTCTGTGATTGCAATTGATCGCAGACTGCTCATCATTCCACTCAGGGCAACATCAGGAACCATCGACACGAGGAGGAAATGGGTTTAAGGAGATAAGGAGCACGGGGCCAATGAATGGAGGGAGTGGAGGAGGAGGAGGAGGTGTGAGGGCGAAGTGGGCGGGGCGAATGAATGATGAGGCTGCGCTCGGACCCTGACGTGGAGCTGAATGGCGAGGGTCTCCCCTGTCAGCTGGAGTTGACTTCATAACAAGGATCCCACCCCTCCTGATGGAGCACTTATCAACTATTGATCAGCCGTGCTGCATTATTGACATTCACATCTCCACTTTAAGACCAGCATTAATTGACCAGAATAGGTTTCTTGACGTCTCTATTGGATTCCAATCAATCCATAAATAAGCTACAGAGGCAATAAACCCAGTCGATTGGACTCTGTCGTTATGAGGACAGAGTTTTAGATCAACTGGGTTCACAGTTCTGATGGATTTAAGGTCATTTGATGTTTTTGAGAACATGATTTTATGAGAGAAGAAGAAGAAACACAAGAGCTTAAAAACACGAGTCTTACTAGTTTGTCCGTTCTGTGCTTCTGTAGAAAAATGGCGGTTGGTCGGCTCTTATGTCGATGTAAAGGCTCAGTTTAGTCTGTAGACTGGATGAGGATTGAGTTCTTAAAGCTCTTCTTTGAATGAGAATCTGACTGTAGTTCCTCCTCTGCTGCCTCTCAGGTGATCCACAGACCTTCGTCACCTGAGTGAGTCAGACAGCTGCTCTCTGCAGACCTGACATACGACCAGGAGACCAAACTACCTCTCAGATGTTTGTCCGCTGAGGACGGCTTCTGTCGGACTCATCCTCCACTTTCTAGAAAACCTCGCTGTGAAACTTTACAGTCAGGTTACGATGAGAGTGCCCTCTGCTGGCTGACTCTTTTAGGCTGCCTTACACACTGACACTGTGTATAATGTGGATTTTAGTGAGTTAGGATTAGGGCCTGACCGATATGGATTTTTTGGAGCAGATGCCGATTATTAGGAGGGAAAAATCTGATTACCAATTAGTCAGCCAATTTTTGAAATTTTTTATGAGGCTATAAAAAATGTAGAATACTGTAGATATCTACAGTATTTCTGAGTATACAGTATATTCAGTATATCTGAGAGGACGTACACAAGCGAGGATCTAGAGACCTGCAGAGCTGAAGTCATGCACAGGGTGTGAGGAATCGGGCTTTAAAGACACATACTGTTTATATATTACTTATATCATCATCACCACGGCAACAAGACCAAGCATGGGGCTCAATGTCAACATCATCATTGATATCAATCACAATCTTGTTCGACTAAATCTGACTAACAAATACCAAACACTCTGTCCCTTTAAACACATATGTCTGAGTCCAGCTCAGCTGTTTGTCCGTCAGTCTGTCCTGATTTCACTCAGAGAGGACGTCTCTGTGTTTCTAACATGGACAAATATAGAGAGAGACACGGGCAGAGACCTGAGACAGGAGGCCTGAAGTGTGTGAGAATGTCTTTAAAACCAGAACCAGACCGTGACCAGGAACCGTAGACTGAAGGGGAACCGGATATCAACAGGTTTACATCGAACATTAAAGATTATCTAACAGACCGAACAAAGATCCTGCTCTGTGAGGGAACGAGAAATGGAGTCAAGATTTACATTATACATTCAGATCATGTTCACACACACACACACACACACACACACACACACACACACACACACACACACACACACACAGCCTCCTCATTATGGGTCCATGGTTCTGAAACACTGATTCTCACACTCGGACCAACGTGATTGACACACAGTACTCAATCAGAGCCTCAGTCCGGATTATCGAACCCAGAGCAGTGATGATGATGATCATTTTCTCATCCTGATGTTCTCAGCTGTTCTGTTTCATCTCCAAACCTGTGGGCGAAGGAATCGGAGTGGTCCATCGGTCAGCAGCCCAACACTGTTGCTGCTCTCTCTCTCTCTCTCTGACTCACACGCACGAGCTCGGGAGCGCCATAGACAGCTGACATCGACCCCCTTATTGCAGGTAAAGTGTTGCGCCCGTCGTCCCAGTGAGTGTTGGGGAGGTACTGGACCATTCCCATTCACCCTCAACAACCACGAGCACCAACAACAACACGCGCGCGCATTCGCACAGACAGCGCACGCGTGTGCATTCAGTTTTGATCCTCCTCTGCGTGATTCCTCCCTCGATACTAAATCCCCCCTCTCTCTCTCTCACACACACATCTGTCCACAGCCCGGACTCTGCCCGTCCAGCCCGTCCGCGTAAATACCGTCAGGATTCAGGAGAGACTGAAATCCGTGTCCGCAGATTTTCATCACATCTGTTTCAACACGAGCGCAGCAACAAATGTAGACCACCACCACCACTACCACACACTCAAACACATCCCCCATAGATGCAGAGTCCACACAGACCAGCCCCCGAACAGAGGACCGTGGTTCCGAGCCCCCCTTCAGTCCTCCACCATCTGGGCTTCTGTTGCACCAAGAGGACTGAGCCGAGCTGGAGTCAGTGCTGCAGGTGTAGCTCTGCTCTCTCTGCATCCATCTTCTTTCATTCTCATCATTCACAGGTTACATCAAAGATTTCTCATCAGGTCAACATTCAGATAAAAGCAGAATTCTGGTTCCTACCTTCACTGATTTCCCTTCCGAATCAACGAGTCCGTTTTCCTGAAGCAAAGAGAGAGAGAGAGAGAGAGAGAGAGGCTTTTTTCTCCTCCATCCACCGCGAACGTCGCAGGCTCGGCTGCACGGCGGGAGAGAGTGACTGAGGGAGAGAGAGAGAGAGAGAGAGAGAGGTGGTGAATGCACAGACCTCTGCGTACAGAGTGAGATAACGGAACTGCAGTGGGCATCTGCCTTCACAGCTCTGTGCTGTTGTAGAGAGGTAAATATCTGCAGACAGACTTCACTGCAGCTCCAAAAAAAACATCTACATGCTTTAAATTAATGAGTCTGCAAACTGGATTAACAGGCGGGATTAGAGAGGAGGAGTCTCAGAGCTTCATTCATTCATTCATCATGAAAATGATCAAACCCACTCTGAGGTTTACAGGTTTTAGTTCAGTGTCCGGATGATACGGTGGCTGCGAACAAAAAAGAATCCAAAAAAAAAAAAAAAGAAGTCACAACCGAAGTTACTGATGCAACAAAAGAAGAAACCGAAGTCCGCTGCAAATACAAAAAGAAACGGTGATAAAAAATTTTAAAAAGCCACAACGGAAGTTAACGACACAAAAAAGAAAAAAAGTTACTCACTGCGAAAATAAAAGGATGCAAATAAAAAAAAGCCACAACAGACCAACCAAACATCGGACAACAAGAGACGTGCAGATCAAGTCAGTATCGAGTCGGTTCGTCAAAGACAGTGTTGTTTTCGTTGACGATGGCGTTGACGAAAACAACACTGCAGAATATATGTTTAGCGTTTGACTGACAAAATGCTCATGAATTTTGCAACTCTGTTCGTTGTTCACCACTAACGTTTTTATTTAGTCTCATCAATGAAAAATGCACATTTGTCTTGTCACATTTTAGTCATCTAAGACTAATGTTTAACTTGTCAACGTCACGTCTCTGTCGTGGAAAAAAAGGAACGTTGACGAAAATATTTCATCGATGAAAACAACCAGTGCTGTTTTCATTGACGAAATATTTTCATCAACGTCAACGAAAACAACACTGGTCAAAGACCACATCGAGGGCCACGTTCACTCTGCAGGTTCTGATGCACAATTCAGATTTTTTGTTAAATCTGATCTTTTTGTGAGGTCTTTTAACTTTTTTATCTTTTTGTGTCGTTAACTCCCGTTGTGAGGTTTTTTTTATCTGCACCGTTTCTTTTTTTATTTGTAGCAGGTTTCGGTTTCTTTTTTTCTTCCATTGAGACTTCTTTTTTTTTGCAGCAGTGGCGTTCCTCGGCCACCGTAGACGGTTCTCCTCAAACCTCCACCTGCTGCACCCTCACTGCTGTGCTCTGAGTCAATAGATGATCCACTCCAGGTCTGTTGAAGTCTAATTAGCGGAGGTATCAACTCTCTCTCTCCTCCTTATCGCTCCCCTCTTACTCCATGTGTATCTCCTCTGTGTATCTCCGCCCACACCTTCAGGTTCGGAGAAGAATGAAGGAGGTGGGTGGGGTTGATTAAGTCTCCTGCAGTTTGTGAATCAAGCTGTGGGAAAAAAACGAGGGAGTGTGGAGCAGAGAAAGCCCTGATGAGTGTGTGGGCGTCCGACAGGTTGATTCTGTCGCTCTCTCTCTCTCTCTCATGGAGGAATATGTCGGAGGTGTGATCGTACTCAATTAACACTCCTCCTCTCAGCTCACTTCTCACCTCCTTTCTCTGCTTCCTGGTCTTTTTCACTCGTCAACCTGATCAGACAGACAGACAGACGCTCACTCATGTCTCTCTCTCTCTCTCTCTCTCTCTCTCTCTCTCTCTCTCTCTCTTTGATGAGGTTCTGAGAATCTCATTAATATTTCCTCATTATCAGTGACTTTGGTGTCGACTTGTCCGGGCATGAAGCTGAACTAATGTGTTTTCTGTTGCTGTGAAGGACTGAAGATGGAGTCATGATGATGTTACACAGACAACATGAGAGGCCACTTTATTAGGAACAGGGTCTGACCCCCTTTGACCCTCAGAGCGGCCCTGATTCCTCCTTCTCTGGTGTCTGAGGAGGACCTGCTCGTTGATTATCACGTGAACTTTAGCAGATCTTCTTCACCATCAACCCTTTTTCCTCTAATGTCTGTTTGGTTCTGGTTCTTCTTCTTCTTTTGGGTTGTTCTGGTTCTTCTGTTGGGTCGGGTTCTTCGTAGGGCTCGTCCAATTTATCGGCAAGCTGGTTAAATCATCCAATTTTAGCCCGTTTGAGACTAATCAGTAATCGGCCAAAACTTGCAGATTTCCGCCTGAGACGATCAGTCGGCCGACTCGAGATCATAATTCTTCATGTGTGAAAAGTTCCCCCTGACCTGGACTCTCTGGCTGTTTCCTGTTTTGCTCAGAAACATGTCTTTTTCCCACTGGACCCATCAGCTGTTTGGTCTCCAGACTGCAGACTCTCTCTGAAACAGGCTCACGGTTCGAGTCCAGGCCTGTCTGGGACCCGGTCTTTGAGTGTTGGTGTCGGCTCAGACTCTCTCTCTCCTGAGGGTGATCCTCTCATCAGACTCACATCGACTCTCCCTCTGCTTGTGTTTCTTAATTCTCAGTTCCAGCTGTACTCATAAATAATTCTCTCCTAACTTCACCCTCTGGTACAAAAACTATTTTTAACACCAGAGTTTTTTTTTTTTATCATGACGGCCAAAAAACTAAAACGTCCTGAAGATTCAGCAGATCAGAGTTTTTATTTCTGATCCTTCTTCTGATTTCAGGGTGAAGACTAAAACTGTTGATTTATCCTGATTCTTGATGCTTTATGATTCTGCTCAGGTCTTCCTCGGCTGTTTGTCTACATGTCTTCTTTGTCCTCCCTCTATCACCACACTTGGCGGTCTTTCTCTTGGTGGTCTCTCCATGAGATCTTCAGGATGGATCTGAGGCACCGTCGATGGAAGACATCCAACTTGTTGGTGATGCTGGCTGTCTTTGTCCACGTCTCTCAGGCGTAGGTTGCTGTAGGGATGACCGCTGACATATAGAGGCGTAGCTTTGTGGTCGTGATGATGGATTTTGACGACCAGATGTTCTTTGCCAGTTCTGGTCTGTACGTCTTTCTCCACGTCTCCAGTATTTGAGATGTTGTTTCCGAGGTATGTGAAGTTCTCGACTCTACGTCTTGTTCGCCTACGGTGAGTGGTGGAAGGTGTTGGTGTTGTGCGACGGTCGTGGCCCTGGTCTTTTCTTGGCTTATACGTAGACCGACTTTTGCTCCTCGCTCATACACTCGCTCAGAGTGTGACGTGGGTGTGGCTAATGAGCGCCAAATCGTCTGTAAAGTCTAGATCTGCCAGTCTGCCCCCCCCCCCCCCCCCCCCCACTCGATGCCGTGGTTTGGCCCGATGACAGTTCTCCTCACCACAAAATCAATGACTGGAATAAAAAGTAAGAGTGACGGGATGCGACCCTGTCTTACCCCGCTCATGATGTCAAAGTCATCGGTTGTGCCGTTGATGGAGTTGTGATTTAGGGCCCTGAAGATTTTGACGTATAGTTGGATAATACGCCACAGTGATTCCAGGTGGATGCTGTCGAAATAATGTTAATAATAATAAAAAAAGCCCAGGATGTAAAACGACCTCAAAGACAGACAGACAGACGTTTGATTGAGTGGTTTCAGCCTCAGTTTCAGCCGCAGTCATGTGATGAATCAGAACTTTGAACATGTGAACAGAACCTTCATCAGAACCAGTTTGGATCACATTAATTCTGCTCGTGTTGAATCGATAAGCAGCAGGACAGAGTGGAGCTCCGTGTGCTTTCAGCCTTTCATGATACAAACATGTGTAATGTATGTGGACGCTCTACATGTATGTATGCGTGTGAATAATGGATGACAGATCGCTCATGCACTCAGCTCCTCCCCCTGCTGTGGAGGAGTTCAGGGGCGTGCAGAGAGCGGTCCTGGTCAGCGGGTCGTGGTTGTTGTGATGAGGTCAGACTCCGGATCTCTGCACAAACATGTTTTTATCATGATGAAGGTTGGCGTTGGATGATGTAGGAGGCGTTTTTGTTCCTTTAACTGTTCTTTAAAGTGAAATGTCACACTTCCCACTGAGTCTTTTTACATCGAGATGAAGAATAAAACAACAACGTTCAGGGCCGGACTCTGATTTCCTGTCAGAGAAATCAAACCTCCGCTGTCTCAGCTCCTCATCCTGCCTCCTCTCTCTCTGGAATCCATTACTTCTGTCTGACTTCTACATTATGTGATAAACACATATCCAGTTCGGGTGGCAGGATTGTTTACCAGACACGGTATCTCAGCCGAATGGCCTCACGACTCGAGTGCTGCAAGTGTGTTTCCATGGTAACCGAGTGTAGTATTGAGAAGAGGAGCAAAGAGTGAGCGAGGAAGAGGCGCTGAGGATAACCCTGAGCGCTGCGTCTCCTCTCTGTGTGTGTTTATGTCTTTAGGAGGAGCTGGAGGATCATGGGAGGATGGAGGCCCGGTTCTTTATTCAGAGAGGATCATGGGAGGATGGAGGCCCGGTTCTTTATTCAGAGAGGATCATGGGAGGATGGAGGCCCGGTTCTTTATTCAGAGAGGATCATGGGAGGATGGAGGCCCGGTTCTTTATTCAGAGGTTCAGTCCAAACACAGAGAGACGTCTTTGACTGATCAGAGATCTGCAGCTCAGCGGGTCTGACAAGGATTCTTTCTGTCTTTCTTTCCTCTTTTCTTTCTTTTTTCCTTTTTTCTTTCTGACTTCTTTGTTTCTATTTTTTCTTTCTTTCTTACTTTCCTCACTTCTATCTTTCTTTCTTTCTTTTGTTTCTTTCTTTCTTTCTTTTTCTTTCTTTGTCTTTTTTCTTTCTTTTTCTTTCTTTTCTTTTTTCTTTTGTTTGTTTGTTTTTTTTTCTTTTGTTTCTTTCTTTCTTTCTTTTCTTTCTTTCTTTCTTTCTTTCTTTTGTTTGTTTGTTTCTTTTTTCTTTTTTCTTTTGTTTCTTTCTTTCTTTTCTTTCTTTCTTTTGTTTCTTTCTTTCTTTCTTTTGTTTGTTTGTTTCTTTCTTTCTTTTTTCTTTTTTCTTTTTTCTTTTGTTTCTTTCTTTTGTTTCTTTCTTTTGTTTCTTTCTTTCTTTCTTTCTTTCTGTCTTTCTTCTTTTTCCTTTCTTCCTTTTTTGTTTCTTTTTTCTTTTTTTTCTTTCTGTCTTTCTTTCTTTCTTTCTTTCTTTCTTTCTGTCTTTCTTTTTCTCAAACTGTAAGAACAACAACAACTAAAAAGTACTAGAAACAAAAACACTGAACACAATAACACATCTGTTCCTGAAACAACTGAACATGTCAAAGATAAATTCACACAAACATGTTTGTCGTCGTTGCTCCGACCTCCATATCTTCGACTTTATAACACGCTAATCTGTTCCTCTGGTCTAACATGAACACTGAGATCATCACAGCCTGACTTATCTGTGTCCTTCAGCTCATCTTCTCACTGACTCCATCAAACTGAAGCGTCCTCCAGCGTTTCTAGGAACATCACGCCGTTTGCACATTGAGCATGCTCCTGAAAAAACGGCGGTCATGTATTAAAGGGACGGGGTGATGGGTCTGTGAGCAGTGTGTCAGAGTGTGAGTGCTGGCTGTGTCATGGCGGCCTCACGCCTGGACGGGGTCGAGGACGCCATCATCATCATCATCATCATCATCATCATCATCATCATCATCATCACAAGACTCAACGGGGACGTGATCAGCAGTGGAGCAGAGAGAGCGCCGAGCTCCAGCTGATCCTTACAGACAGTACACTTCAGTAGACGGACGTTTGAACACACACTCACTTCAGACACACACACACACACACACACACACACACACACACACGCTCTTCAAATAAACTTTACTTACTTACTTGTGTTCTCATCAAGACATGAAGTGACTGTATTGTTAATATTTACATGAACTGTCTTTGGTCCACAGCTCCTCCTCCTCCTCCTCCTGATGATGATGATGATGATGATGATGATGATGATGATGATGATGATGATGATGATGATGAGGAGGAGGAGGAGGAGGGGGAGGAGGTCCTGAGGGTCTCATGTCTTCTGCTGACATTCAAGGAAAGTGAAATTTAACGGTCTGAGATTCTGAACATGAAAAAAGTCTTTTCTTTAACCACGAACCTGAAAACCTTCTTCTTCTTCTTCTTCTTCTTCTTCTTCTTCTTCTTCTTCTTCTTCTTCTTCTTCTTCTGTAGGATCACTGTAGGCCACTGAAAACCCCCCTGGATCAGGTTTACAGAGACCCTTAGACCCACTCAGGTCAGGGAACCGTCTGTGAAACAGGACTTTGGTAACATCTAGTGGTACGTCTGAAGAACTACAACCTCCTCAGCTTCAGTGGAGACCCCAGAAACCAGTTTTTTCAATTTTCAATTTCAATAATAATAATAACAAGAATACGAATAATAAGAATACAATAATAATTAAAAAAAAAACAGTAATAATAATAACAATGATAATTTTTCCCTCAGTACCTGAGAGGGTCAATGAGCAGAAGATTATGGAGTAAAATTCACGATAAGATCATGAGAACTGTGATCGCAGAGAGAAAGTAGGTTAACTCTAAACTCCTCTTCATCTCTAAGATCCTGGAAAAAGTTGTTTTTAGTCAAATACAATCATTTTTAGACAGAAACAGCTTCTCCAGGTGTTCCACTCTGGTTTTAAAGCACAGCGCAGCAGTGAAACAGCACTTTTAGAGGTTTTTAACGATCTTTTATTTCTCACTGATTCTGGGGATTCAGCTCTTCTTCTGCTTTTAGATCTTTCTGCAGCTTTTGTGGATCACAACATTTTAATTCCTCGTCTTGAACACTGGATGGGGGTTAAAGGTTATAGTCCTGGAGTGGTTCAGGTCATACCTGGATGTCAGGAGCTTCTCTGTCGGCCAGCTTCTCCTCTCCCATGTGGAGTTCCCCAAGGCTCCATGCTTGGCCCAGTCTTTTTCTCCTTATTCATGCTCCCCTTGGGATCTACATTTAAAAATATAACATTTCTTTTCATTTCTATGCTGATGATAAACAGCTGTATTTACCCCTGAAATTAGGAGCTTCCAACGCCGTGGGCCCACTGTTGGACCGTCTGAGGGACACTAAAACCTGGATGGATCTCAACTTTCTAAACTCAAATGAGAGTCAGACTGAAGTCATCGTCTTTGGACCCCAGAGCAGATCTGTCCACCTCTGAGTCCTTTCTGAAAGACTGTCAAAAATCTGGGGGTTATAATGGACAGAGATTTTAAAATGGATCTACAGATAAATACAGTTTTTATCATCTTTGTCTTTTCAACAAGGTCAAGTCTTTTTTCGAGAAGGTTATTCATGCTTTTATCACGACTCGTCTTGATTATTGTAATGCTCTTTATTTTGGTGTCAGTCAAACCTCTCTTCATCGTTTAAGATAAGATGTTGTTCCAAAAGTTTAAAGTAAGTATTCATTATGAGGGCCTGGAGTCATGAGGAGGGGTCACATGTCTGTATTTAACGAGGCTCGATAATGAAACAAACTCATTATCCTGAATCTTCTCGACGAACCTCCAGGTACAACAACGAAGAACTTCTGCAGACCTCTGCGACATGTTGAGGTTTCCTTCAGACTGAAAACGGTCTGAGCTCAGATTTCACTCTCGGTCGTTTTAGGGAAATCACAGAGATCACATTTAGCTCCTCATTTCATGAGCAGTTTGAAATGATGTGAATCCTGAATTAGAGTAAACGGATTTGATCAAACGTCATGGTTACTGCAGACTGAGGTGCCGCTCCTTCAGAGAGGAGGATGGTTTTTAGACTTTGGTTAATATTCAGAGCTCCTTGAGTCCTGTAATGAGCTGTGGTCGACTAAAGTGCCTTCAGAATAAGTGGATAAGAGGATTTGCATGAACCTTTGCATGGTGAAAACATTTGTGGCTGCTGTGCAAATGTCCAAACTGTCCGTATACTCAGCTGTCTGAGAGAGGATGGACATTTAGTGGAGTGAGAGCTGAACGATGAAGGTCTTCACCTTTTCTCTTCTTCTGGGTGAGTCATCCTCGTCACCGTCTGTTTCATCTTCTTGAATCTCTTCCTCTGAATTCACTAAAATACGAGGATTTCAGACCTAAACTCTCATCGTACAGCGTGTGGGAGTTAACTTGATTTCTGAGATAAACAGGTTTGTTGTTTCAGCTGCAGACGTCAGGTCCTGATCTCTTTGTCTATGATAGATCTCCATCACTGACTTCATTTCTGACTTTTCCTCTAACTCTGTGAAGACTTTGGTTTCTGTGCGTGAACTTGAGGATGATCCTGTTTCCACATGTCTGGTCCTGACTGGTCTTTGTCCGTGTCTCCTCAGGCTCGCTCCTGGTCCTGGGTCGCTGTGTCTTCCCTCCAGGTGTGTGTGATGTTGGTTCTCCTGACAGATGAAGTTAGACTCCTGTGGATCATTATCTCCAACTCTCATGATTTTCTCTTCTTCATGCAGGTTCTTGTGATGAATACTCAAACCTCACCGACTCCTATCGAAATTATTTATTCACTTCGACCACGTTTCCTGGTTTTCCTCTTGATGACGCTCGTCTTGTTGGGAAGTGGTGGCGTTTCACGGGCATCGGTGGAGACAAAATCTATAATTCATGCTACACCACCCAAAGAGGTGGTACCTACTACATCACTACTGTTCCTTTCTCCTTACCAACAGTTGAATCTGAGACTGAAACCACAGGGACCGCTTATACACACGCTGGAGCTTGTAATAATTATCCTTTTACAATGAGTGTGGTTCTCTGTCCTGGAGGGTTCCACATCTACAAACCATCACAACACCGTTACAGCACTTCAGGATACACGACCTGTAAGAAACCACGACACATGTTCGTACTTTGGTGTTTTTCATTTAAAGGGATAATCCGGCAAAAAATTAATTTAATTTATACCAACTTTAGTAACGACCGCAGGATAGAAATACACAGCAGTCTGAGGAGCCATGAACAAACCTCAACCAAAACGCCACTCTATAGCCACAAATAATGCTCAGAACAGCACCTAACTTCATCAACAGGACATATAGGGTCACAGACATAGTACTATAGTCAGAGTTGTTCTAACTCCTAAGAAAACAAACTTAAGCGGGGGCGTTTCTCCACCTCTGTAGTCTATAAGCTGGGCCAATAAACTTCTACTCTAGTAAAATGAAAAGGTAAAGGTGTTTTTATTGAGCCGAATTATCAATAAAATCATGATTTTGTTAACAGGTATGGATTTATGTGCTGTCGAGTTAATATATTTGAACAAGAGCACAGTAAAGTTAAATCAGCTAATTTTCCAATGAGGTTCTGTTACTAAACTGAACTACACCATGTTCTACTGAGGTTAGTACATATAGGGTCACAGACATAGTACTAGACACCAAACATCTTTTTAACTTTGACTCATTTCTTTAGCAAAGAGACGAAACACAACTCACCTACTCTCTTCCAGCAGACGCTTGTTTGTAGAGAGACCTCAGGCCAGTCCATTACGGACTACAGGGGGGTGTCGCAGCTCAAGAAAGAACATTTATATAACATTTTATATGTCCTGTTGATGAAGTTAGGTGCTGTTCTGAGCATTATTTGTGGCTATAGAGTGGCGTTTTGGTTGGGGGCGTGGCTCTCTGTATTTCTATCCTGCGGTCGTTACTAAAGTTGGTATAACTAGAGAAGTAAGCGGTCGACAACATTCATCCCTGGAGGGGGGGTCTAACTCAGTGTTACAGTGTGTTTGACCCTAAATGAATTTTACGCCGGAATATCCCTTTAAATAGAGTTACAGGTCTGTTTGTTTCTTGTTCTGTTCAGATCACAGTGAGTGCGGCCCGGGTGACTGTGGACCTCTGGCCGAGTGTTCAGGTACTGGAGGTTGTGTCTGTGTTACCGGGTATGAAATCCCCCCAGAACACCTGCCCACTGCAGAGTCCTATGGCTGTGTCGGTGAGTCCACTTTCCTTCAGCTCTGAAATCAGAGCGGACTCCTCAGAACCACCAGGAGCTGATGTTTGTGTCTCCTGACAGACATCGATGAGTGTGAGAGGACTTCAGGACTTTGTGGTTCCTACACCAACTGTACCAACAACATCGGATCCTACCTCTGCACCTGTCTGGACGGGTTCAACGCCACAGGATCAGGACCTGTTGGAAAATCCAACCCCTGCAAAGGTACCATCAGAAATGAAGCTGTTTGTGTGAGCTGCAGGAATTTAAAGCTCTTCTTCTTCTTCTTCTTCTCTGTAGATATCGATGAATGCGTGGAGGACCCCTGTGGTGATGGGACCTGCTCTAACAACGTTGGAAGTTTCTCCTGTTCCTGCTTCACAGGCTTCATCCTTGACCTGAAGGCCACTCCTCTTTGCCAAGGTCAGTCTGAGATTATTTTAGACTCCATCAAGAAGGCTGGGTGACTCTGATTTCTTCTCAAACGTAGAAAAAGATGGAGAAGTCCTTGGAGGAGCTGGACTGTCTGGAGGTCCAGATGCCCTCCTTTGCACTTTAGTGAGAAACAAAGAGACCTGATGGACCAGGACCTTCTTCAGGGTCTCATCCTAACTGTGTTTCCTGCTCCTCAGATATCGATGAGTGCTTCAACTCCACCGTCTGTGGACCTGACTCTGAGTGCACCAACACACCTGGATCATACACCTGTGCATGTAAACCCGGCTTTGAAGCAGTCCAAGCGGACCAGGAGCCCAGCGAGAAGAACATCTGTGTCGGTATTTGAATTGATGAAAGTCCAACATTTGGAGCAGAACCAGCTCCTGTTGGAGATCTCCTGGTGTCCCTGATCTTCTGTGTGTTTGATGTTCTGGTCAGATGTGGATGAGTGTGACAGAGACGCCTCAGTCTGTGGTCCTCACGCTAACTGCACTAACTCCATCGGCTCGTACCTCTGCACCTGCTTCTCTGGTTTCCGTGTCAACAACCCGGAGATGATCGCCAGCCATGCTCACCCGTGTACAGGTGTGTTACCGTGCCGAATACTCCTGACACGTGATCTGGTCACCATGGTAACCATTTGACAGTCAGCTGTTTCCTCTCTCCGCAGACATAGACGAGTGCAGTGAGACCCCCGGGATCTGTGGGAAACAGACGGTGTGCACGAACGTCCCGGGGACCTTCTACTGCTCCTGTCCTGATGGGTTCTACCCCTCAACGGGGATCTTGTGGGAAGTCGGGGTCTCCTTTTGCAAAAGTAGGTCCAGGATGAAGCAGAAGATGTGATGCACTTTGAACTTCTCATCCCCTTCTCATTATTAACCTGTACATGTTCTTCAGGTCTTCATGATATTCTGGAGGAGCTTCAACCCACAGAGGTAGACAAAGACCGAGAGCTGCAGAAGATCAGAAATCAGACAAATACAAGACCTCATGGGTCTTCTGGCTTTAGTTCCTCTGAAATCAGAGTTTCCCTACTTTAGACTGTGAGCAGGTCAAAGGTCAAGGTGACAGCAGACCAACGACAACAACCCAGACTCTGTTTTTGTCTTTTCTCCAGGGTCAGACCAAAGAGAGAGCTTTTCTGGACGACATGGACAAACAGCTAATAGACAATGAAGGCGTGTTCTTACCAGACCCGGTGAGTGGATCAGAACAGAAGAACCCCTCCAAACCAGAGGGTCTGTAGTTCTTAATGACCGAGGGATTACCACCAATTTTCATCCAGAACCTTTCACTTGTTCGTCTCCGCCCGTTTGCATGGTGTGAAATACGATCCTCCTGAAACACGGAGTGTTTTATTTTGAAAAGAAGCCGGATGTTTTATTTTGTGTCTGTGCCCGACTTCCTTTCCAGCACGGGTTAATCTGTGCTGAATTTATCCGCCATGCTCCGGCGTCCAGAAAAAATAGAACTCTTGTGATCAGCTGAGGAGTCATGGTTACAATCAGCTACGATCGGAGGATACGACCTTTTAGTAGCCGTTTAGGACTAAGTGGAAATTGAGGGTTAGGTTTTCTCTCCCTGTCCTCAGACTGTTTACCTGCTCCAGGAATCGTTCATGCAAATCTGCTCACAGACCAACAACATGATCCTGACTGCAGGTCCAGAGTCTGACAGGAACCATCAGGGTAGAAAACAGTTGGTGGTCTTGGTGGTCTTGGTGGTGGCAGGTCAACAGGAGGTGGAAACTCCCCCATCATCATCATCATGTGACTAACTCCGATGACCCCTGAACTGCACTTTGACATGATGATTGTTCTTCTGCTCTCTCTCTCTCTCTCTCTCTGCAGACGGTGGCGAACAGCTTCTCGGCGAGCATGGTACCGACTCTCCTTTGTCTCTGTATTTGGATCCAGACTCAGAACCATCATCAGTTGTTCAGATACTTTCACTCTTGCAGGAAGTGTCGGGTGTAGGACCTCGGGTCACAACATCTACGGTGAGCAGTGAAGGTGACGGGGAGACCGGCAGCGTGATCCTGGACATCTCAGACCGTTTAGTTTCTGCGATCGTGCAGCCGGGTCAGAACAGAACCAAGAGATCTGTGCAGAGTCCGACTGTGGGTAAGAGGAGCTTCTCTTTATTGAATGTAGATCTCCTTCATGTGTGCCCAGATCCACCCCAGCTGTCCTGGTCTTTGTTTCTCTATTAGATCTAAGTCTGGAGACCGTTGGGGCTGGAGAAACCTCTGCAGAGAGCTCGGTTCTCTCAGCTGGTGAAAACACCATGGAGATCGACCTTGGAGGTTTGGCCAAGAACAACAATGGTGAGAAGGTGGTCCTTGTCCTTTTAGAGCAGAGGTCCATGATTCCCTCAAAGAGTGCCGAGCTGTGATCCAGATCTTTGTGGATCACTCAGGACCAGTATCTGAAAGTGTTGACCCGTTAGCTCACGCAGTCTCTCACGGAGGCTGACAGACTTGGCCTCTCTGAAGGTCCGTCTGACCCGGTCCTGTCAGAGTCTGTTGTCAGTGGAGAACCTTCCTCCCTGAGATCTTCTCCATGTGAACTTTTTCAGGTTCTGCAGCAGCCGCCTTCATGACCCTGAGCGGGATGGAGAGTCTCCTCAGTCATTCCTACTTCCAAACAGAAAACCAAACACAGATGCTCTCCAAGGTCATCACCGCCATCTTACCCTTCACCAACAACACCAACCTCACCCAGCCCGTCAACTTCACCATCTACCATGAGAAGGTGAAGCTGCTCACTTGATCTAGCATCCAGTTTGAGGAGAACCGATTTCAGTTATCTTGTGATCTTCCAACAGTCCTTGTTTCCTTGTTCTCCTCAGGTTCCTGAAAACGGCATCGTGACCTGTGTGTACTGGGAGGACAGACCAGAGGAGACGGGGGCCACACGCACAGGAGGAGAAGGACAGAAGAGGACCATGCGTTGGTCGGTAGAGGGCTGCTGGGTGGCCTTCACCGAGCACAACAAGACAGTGTGCAGCTGCTCTCATCTGTCCACGTTTGCCCTCATCATGCAGATCGGGGAGGTAGGAGATCTCTGAGATGATGATGATGTGCACTGACCTCTTGAAGACCATCATCACAGACATGTTGTGTCTCCTCCTCAGCCTCCACCTGAGAACCCTTTCCTGGAGTGGCTGAACCGGATGTGTGTGATCGTGGGACTCTTCTTCTTCAGTTTGGCCATCTTCACCTTCCTTCTGTGCAGCTGGAACCCGAAGATCAACAACACGGCGCGTCTCCACCTCTGCCTCAGCCTGGCCTTGTCCCATCTGCTGCTGCTGTGGAATGACAGATACACTGAAGACCAGGTAGACTTTGGACGGCGTGCAGACGGCGGTTTGCAGCTTCATGTACTTGATGATGGAGGTATGGAACCTGGTCCCGCCTTCACAGCTGTCCTAATCCTCCTCCTTGTGTCTGTCCGTCTGTTCAGCTGGCCTGCACCGTCATGGCGGGCCTTCTCCACTTCTTAGTCATTGCCAGCTTTGTGTGGATGCTGCTGGAGGCGCTGCAGCTCCACCTGTTGGTCCGGAGGCTCTCCAAGGTGCAGGTCATCCAGAGAGACGGCCTCCCGCGGCCCCTTCTCTACCTGCTGGGCTACGGCGTTCCCTTTGTGATCGTGGGCGTGTCGGCGCTGGTTTATTCTGACGGATATGGAGCGACTGAGGACGAGGCGTGAGTAAGACAGACAGTCAGACATGCTGGAGATCCGGTTCTCCTTCACTGTTCATATGGATCCAGTTCAAACGGACCTTTCTTTGGTTCTGCTGCAGGTGCTGGCTCTCTGCACGCCGAAACTTTAAGTGGGCGCTGACGGGTCCGGTCATCGCCATCCTCGCAGTGAGTTTAATGAAGGTTAAAGGGTCAAACCCACTGAACTGGTCTGGACTGTGGGGTCTACCAGTCCCTCCGGACCAAGCTGCTGTCTTTGTTTGTTTCTTTGCTGATGACCTGCTGGTTTATTCCGGTTTATTCTGTTTTCTTAAAGTTTATTCTGGTTTATTCTGGTTTGTTCCAGTTTATTCTGGTTTATTCTGGTTAATTAAGGTTTATTCTTGTTTACACTGGTTTATTCTGATTTCTTCTGGTATGTATTGGTTTATTCCAAATATACTTTCATTCTGGTTTGTTCTGGTTTATTCCGATTTATTCTGGTTTATGCTGGTTTGTTCCGTTTTTTTTTCTTTTTCTGGTTTATTCTGTTTTATATTGATTTATGGTAGTTTGTTCTGGTTTATTCTGGTTTGTTGTGTTTTATTTTTCGATTTTATTCCGGTTTATTTTGGATAATTTTAGTTTTTTTCTGTTTTACTCTGGTCTATTCTGGTTTATCCTGGTTTATTCTGGTTTGTTCTGGTTTATTCTGGTCAAATAAGGTTTATTCTTGTTTACTCTGGTTTTACTCTGATTTCTCCTGGTATATATTGGTTTATTCCAAATATTCTGGTTCATTCCAGTTCATTCTGGTTTACTATGGTTTATTCCGGGTTATCCTGACTTCTTCTGGTATATTCTGTTTTTTTTCAAATATTTGGGTTAATTCTTGTTTATTCCAGTTTATTCTGGTTTATGCTGGTTTATTCTGGTCTGTGCTGGTTTATTCCAGTTCATTTCGGTTTTATCTGGTTTGTTCTTTTTTTTCTTCTTCTGTTTTATTCTGTTTTACTCTGGTTTATTCCGGTTCATTCTGGTTTATTCTGGTTTATTCTGGTTTATTCCGGTTAATTCTAGTTTATTCTGGTTTATTCTGGTTCATTCTGGTTTATTCCGGTTCATTCTGGTTTATTCTGGTTCATTCTGGTTTATTCCGGTTTCTTCTGGTTTATTCTTGACAATTCTCTCCTGTTTCAGCTGAACTGGTTGTTATTCTGTGCCACATTATGGAGTCTCAGACCCACACTGGCGAACATGAAGAGTGACGTTTCTCAGTCCAAAGACACCAGGTACCAACAGGGGGTCCTGAAGGCCGTATTAACTTCATGAGATCTTCTCATAAAAACAGATTTAGAGTTTTATATGACTATCAATTCTCTTTTCTTACAGGTTGATCATTTTTAAGATCCTGGCCCAGTTTGTCATACTGGGCTGTACCTGGATCCTGGGTCTGTACCAGACCAACCTCTTCTTCCAGGTCCTCTTCATCATCCTGAACTCCCAGCAGGGAACCTTCCTCTTCATCGTCCACTGTCTGCTCAACAAGGAGGTAGACCCACAGACAGAGGAGAACTGATACTGGACCCAGAGGTTCTGGAGGAACAAAAGCACTAAAGAGTCTGTGTGTGTGTGTGTGTGTGTGTGTGTAGGTCAGAGACGAGTACCTGAAATGGCTGACCTGCTCCTTCAATAAGCAGAGACCTGAAGGATCTGTGGTAAGTTCTGAGGAGGAGGACACCAACAGGAACCATGAAGTCAGTTCAGTTTGATTCATGCTGGAGGGATTAGTGATGAAACAGTGAAGAAATGAACTTTTATACCTTTATTAGACCATGAAAATGTTGAGACTGTGAACATCTGTGTCCACAGAAGGACGTCCCCTCGGTCTCAGAGGACTTGGATAAGGCTGGAGAGCAGACGGACTGACGCTGAAGAACCCTGAAGAACCAAAGGAGAGAGACGAACAGGAGACACTTGTTCAGGATTTACTGTAGTTTATACACACACGTCTTCACAATATTAATATATATATATATATATCCCATATATGTATATACATACACACATGTATATTGGAGATTTAATAGTGTCTGGATTTAATATTTGTAGTGTCGAGGAGTTTTAGAAACGTCTTTAATAATCCTCTGTCCCATAAATGAACCCCTCAGAAACATGAACACACTTTATTTTATGGACTTATTTGTAAATTTCGTGCTTGTTTGACTTATTTTCCCTCCTCAATAAAAGTTGTTAGTTACGATGTTTCCTGTTTTTTTACGAGAGCCTTTGTCTTCTTTTGGAGGCGGCCTCTAGTGGACACTCTGGGAACTACGGGTTTAGAGGTTTTAACCCCTTAAAATCAGTTTGGCAGCTTTTACCCTGAATTCAGACCCTCATGGCTGTTAGTAGGTGGCACCGTTATAAATATTAAATTCAGTTTATTTACCTCCAGGTTAGTTTTTGAGGTCACAGGGTCAACACTTGATTTTTTTCTTGTTTAAAGAGAATCAAACTTTAGTAACCATAGCAACAGACTCACTGAAGATCTCCCTCTGATCCTCTGACCTCTAATCGTCGGTTCAGATCTGATCAGGATCGATTGTTTGGACTGAAGTTCAGATCCTGAAGCTGAAGACGAACCGTGGAGAGGAAAGCTTTTCTATCGGCTCTGTGAAGGTTTCAGTCAGTCAGTTCACCGCGAGTTTACAGCCCTGATTTTCCTAATTTTCTAATTTACATACAGGCTTTAAAGACACGAACAATTACCCAGCAGCCCTCCTCTGCTCCCTCAGCCGTCACGGCAGAAACCGTTAAAAAAGAGAGACTGTTGAATCTTCTCTGGAGTTTTCTGCTCTCCCTGTTCCTTAAAACCAGAAAATGATCTATTATTACACGATTGAAGTCATTATAAAGTTGATTAATTTTAAAGGGGGTTACCACACGTCTCAGTTTATCACAGATCCTTCAGTTTAACAGAGAAAATAAAGGTTCATCCTCTGCATGTTTTAAATTTCCTGTTTTTTCCTTCTCGGTCGTCCCTGATTTGACATGATTTGTCTTTTGTTATATCAGGTATGAGAAAACCATGTAAATGAGAACACTCTCAGCTTTTCCTGTCTCCTCCGATTTGTCTTGTAAAGTTCGGCACACCTCCGAGTTTCTCAGCTCTTATGTAAATCTGAAACAAATCCAAAGATGGAGAAACAACTGAAGGTCGAATGTTTTCAGAAAAGATGTTTTTTCTGAGCCGAAGTCTGTTTGTGGAGGATCCCCACCCACGCAAATGAGACCACGACTTTTCAACGAGTCAGAGTCCAAAGTCTGTGATCATGGCGAGGTTTATGTCTTTTACTTCAGTTTGGACATTTGTCGAGCAGACACTAAAGCTCCATGCAAATCCACACACTTCCTCTTTTCAGCGTCGTGGTTTTGGTTGTTTATCTGTTCTTCTGTAGTCCAGCATTCGCACGCTAGATAAACGGGTATTTTTGATTTGAATGATTTCCCTGAAACCACTAAGAGCTGAGAGTGAAATCTGAGCTCAGACCGATGTCTGCGGTGAACTTCAACACGTCTCTGAGATGTTTGCAGAAGGGCCTGATTTTGCATTTGTTTAGTCCTCCGTGTCTGAATCTGTCGCTCATTTCTGCGTTTATCTTTCCTTATTACTGCTTCATGTTTTCTTGTCGTTCACTGCACAGAACTTTAATTTGCTGCTGTTTTCAAATGTCCTCCAGGAATAAATTCGACTCTGTGTGATTTTTGTCTCCGCTGTCTTCAGGTCAGACCCGTTCAAGGTGAAACTCTGTGGTTGTAAAAGTTTGAATCCTTCCTGAAGTGTTGGAGTTTAGAAATGTCTCTTAGAAAAGGTGAGCAGGTAGAAATGTTCTGATGTTGATGAGGCCGCAGGGACAGAGAGGCGTCAGAGGAGAGGAAACCTGCTTCACCTGTCGGGACATTTGTCTTGTAAAACGGTTTCATGTTGTATCCAAATCACCGACAAAGGACTAAAACTACAGAGGGAAAGATTTACAGAGTTTCTAACTTTGAAATAATAATAATAATAAAGACGTGTCTGTGGTCTGTCTGACTTTGGTTTATTTCAATCAATGAAAACTTTTTCTTTTTTTACAGAGATGAGAAAAAACATTACAGGGAATTGATCATGTTAAATATATTTCAGGAAAAGCTTTGGTCGAATTAATCATCACATGTTTTTATAATTAATGAGTGGAGATGAATAAATAAAACTACATTTAATATTTCTTCTTCTGCAGGATTTTATCAAAACTTAAACAGAAATAAGAGTAAATGAGATGATTGAAAAAAACACTTTTTCAAAACTATGAAGGAAGTGATTTAAATCATGAATTAAAAATGAGCAGAAAGAGTCTCTTTTAGCTTTATAAAACTCTGTTACTAAACACATCTGCCGCTCAAACTCAGTCAGTTAATCATTAATGTTTATTTTTATTTAACACAAATGACAACAATTATTATCTGAAGACGGTTTCCAAAGAGCGGGTCTGAACCTGACTCATGACTTAAACTCAGTCAGAGTTAAAAACATGTTTATTTTTGTAAAACTTATTAATATTCTCCTTTGATATTTGTTAAATCTTTGTGTTTTATTGTTGTCATGAGTGGACTCAAAGAGTCTTTAACTTTAAACGAGTCGCTCTCTAGAGGACATGAGCAGAACTGCAGCATTAAATCAAATCAGTGTGAGAGTATAAACTTTGGTTTGTTCATTTTATTTCAGATTATTTGGTTTGAAACTCCTCCACATCCTTAATTCCTCAGCAATAGTGATAAATTATTATTGAATTCAAACACTTTAAAACACAAACTTTAGTCATGAAGTTCTTTTGTTTCACCAGTTTAGAGGAAAAATCATCCAATTCTCTGTTACAGAAAGGAGATCAAAAATCAATGATTGTTATTACAGAGGCCTATAAATTAAATGAAAACATTTAAGATCTAAAAGCAGCCTTTTAGGCAAAAAAGGAGTCTTAAAATATCTTTAATAATGCAAACATTGTATTAATTTCTTTCGCACTGAACCTGTACTTTTGTAGTATATATATAGAAAATATAGTATTCTATAAACACTTTATGGAGAGGATCAAATTTCCTTATTTATTTTGTTTTATTTTTTATTTTAATTCATTTTTTAAATTTTATTTTATTTTTGATTTTAATTCATTTTATTGTATTTTATTTTATTTAATTAATTTTTTATTTATTTTATTTTGATTCATTTTATTTATTTATTTTTAATCTATTTTATTTTATTTATTTTGTCTGCCAGTTCACCGTCCCTCACTCCAGTCCAGTAGGGGGCGGTAAGGCACCTTTAAGTTAGTTTGCCCTCCGCCTCCATTGAAGAAGAAGATCGAACGGAAAATGTGGGTTAGGAACCTTTTGTCCTTTCAATGTTTCCAGTCGACGACACAAACAGACGGATCAAGCTGGTCGAAGCTGCTCTCCGGTAAAATAACGATCCTGTTTTTATGTTTTTATAAAATTATGAAGCTTTTCGGTCAAATTTTTGTGATTTAGTTTCTCAGAACGAACGGAGTTTGTGTATTTAAAGAGTGTTTGTGACTCTGAGTGAAAAACTTTAGTCTGAATCTGATTTAACAGCTAAACCTGTTAGCATGATGCTAACTGTAACGGTACTAACGTCTTTATAAATCAGTTAAAATATGGAGTTTAAAGAGTTTTTACTCATTATTAAAGTCTAAAAACTTCAGGAACAGACTTTTAACGACACTACATTTACATTAGTGTTGTTTTATCCACATTAATGAAGTTTAAACTGATTATTTAGGAGGAGTTTTTTATTAGTAACAGAGAAATGAATGAAAACACAGAACTGAGTCTGAGAGTAAAAACTCTGAGGTTTAATGAGATTAAAATCTGTGTTTTTAACATTTAAACCTGTATTTCTCACATTTAAACCTTTGTTTTTAAGATGTAAACCCAGATTTATCATATTTTAATCTGTATTTTAATATTTAAACCTGTATTTTTTATATTTAAATCATTTTTTAAAATATTTAAACCTGTATTTTTTATATTGAAGTCTGTTTTTCTAATATTTAAACCTGCATTTTTTATATTTAAATATGTTTTTTTAATATTTAAACCTGTATTTTTTATATTTAAATCTGTATTTTAAATATTTAAACCTGTATTTTTTATATTTAAATCTGTTTTTTTTAATATATTTAAACCTGTGTTTTTCGTATTTAAACCCGTGTTTTTTATTTTTAATCCCGTGTTTCTGTTCTGTTGTCTCCAGTTTCTCCTCCAGCAGCTGATGAAGTGTTGATAAGTTCTCTGAATCTCCTCCATCATGACTTCTCTGGTGAGTTTCCTCTTCATAAATCTGTTTCTCTCTTAAACCCCCTGGTTTCTCCTCCTTCTTATTTCAAACTCAGATTAATTATCAGGAGTTTTTCCTTCAGGATCTGGTTTCACTTTAACCTCTTTGTTCTCCTGCTGTTACCGGGACTTCACTGAACCTCACAGAGGAATCTCAGTTTGATTATTGATGATGATTTTAATCTTGACAAACGGGTCAAATCTCACTTTTTCCAGCTGAGGCGTCTCACCAAAGTTCAATCCTGTTAAATGCAGAAGGACCCTGAAAAAGTTCTTCATGTTTAGTATCTTCTGAAAACGGGTCGGACTCTGTCAGAGTTTTTCTTCTTTCTGCTCCTTTTTATTCACCTGTTTGAGGTTTTTCTTGTTTATATTTAATGTTTTAAATCTGAACTTTAACTCTGACGTGAAGAGCGTTA